CAGATCAAGCTATTAAACCGTTTTTAGAATATTTCTTGATACAATTGGAAGTTCAAACTAATGTTTATTCTAACAAGTGTAAAATCGAGCGTCTTGATAGGACGAATCCAATGAGCTCAAGTCATTCATTGCCGACATCATTAAAGACACTCAAATATTCATCAAATGTCGTCTGATAGAAGGAAACTCTTTGAGCCATCCGATTAAAGTGATTTATATTCATGCATTAATTTCTTCTATAACTCTATAAATAGACCATCATTCTTCGCATGAGAGGAGAACGAGAGCTCGAGGCTTGAGAAAGAATTTGAAGCTTTGAGAAAAAACTTAAGTCTAGCACTACTCATGCCACTGCCGATCGGTGCCAAGAACTCTTGTCGCTTTCTACTGCCAATAAGTACTTCTGTCGCCATCAGCCACCTCCAACCGTCATTAAGCAGCACAGACTACCATCGACCACCACCAATCTCCGTCGACCACTACCAACCATCATCGACCACCACCAACTGAATCTCGCTAATCGCTATCGGTCGCCACCAGTTGACGTTGTAACTTGGAAAACCAACTAACTCTTTTTCAGCTGTGGGATAAATGGTTGCAACTGTAATTATCTTTTCATAGTAGAACTCTTCAGCTAGATCATTCCCCGTAGTTTTTTTTCTTCCAACTTTTTCACAAAAAAAAAAAAAACTTCTAATGTCATTATTAGTTGTTCTTTTTTCTAGCCGTGTGATATATATATATATATATATATAAAAGTATAAAAGAATTGAGTAGTATTTTTGTAAATCATTTAAAAAAAGCACTAATTAATATAGTAAGACATTAACATATTTATTTTATCATTATTAATATTTCTTAAAATTTGACATTTATTTTGTATTTCTAAATTTTATTAAAATTACGCTGTATTATGTCTTAAATCTGTATAAAATATGATTTTTATGCAAATATTTTTTTCTGATAATAACATAGTTTTATTTGCATTGCTCGATCATTATAAATTTCATATATAATGAGTCAAATTAAAAATAAAAAAAAAAAAAATCACAACATAACAATTAACAAAATAATAATATATATTTAAACCTAAAAAATAAAAAGAAATTGCTGTTCAAATTGTGGCACTCACAATTTCAATGAAGGCACATGAAACTTACAAATTTTTCTAGCCATTTGCTAGACCCCTCATTGTAAGGGCTGTAGTAAGTCTTCTTCTAGCCATTTGCTAAAACACCCTTTCTATTAAGAGTCAAGCCTTCTTTGATTTTGTGCAGCCACATAAGCCCATCATCCCAGCAACCTCTAAGCCCTCGCTTGAGTTACAAGCCCACGCAACTGAACTCGGCGATGGTTGCTCCCTATACTGAAAGATTAATAGATGTAAGTCTAGAATAGATTTCACGACGTGGGACTAATACTGAGATTTAATCAATCCTCGTCCTTAACGTTGCTTTCACTTAACAAAGCATGCGTTTATGTTTATTTTTTTGTTATGAATATTTGTAAATTGTAATAAAATTGTAGCACTATTAATTATAACATGCTGGCCAGAAAATTGACATTATTAGAATTATGATTTAATATCTTTGCATTGTATGAAAATTCATCACATAAATATATAATAATAAAGTAATAGGAGAAGACACTAAGATTTTTTACATAAAAAATCCGGAAAGAGAAAATATGTCGTGGCTTTGTCCAATCAAAATGATCCACAATAAATTTACAATTACATTGATAGAACCTTATTTGGCAACTGGAAAATTGTTACAATGTTATATCAAGTATAATATTTGTTTGTGCACAGTATAAATAAAGATTGGTTGTATTTTGAATATGACGCTCAAGAGCAGTTGCAACTGAGAGTTATTGCCAAATCTTTAATACGCTCTGTTTGAGGTATATTGCTACACAATATTTAGGATACTTCATTACTAACATTATTCTTCATCACTCAATAGAGTCCATCAATAGTGGTGAGTTGAGGGCGGCCGACGAGAGCTGAGGATGACTAGCGGGCGGCGTTCATAGCTATGGAGATTGGAAGTTATCATCTTGGTGCTCAGTACAGAATAATATTGGATTAGATTCATTCTCTTTTTCTTCTTCTTTCTCCCCTCAAATGAATAGCATGGGTTTTTTATAGGCTTCAGGAGAGGAATTTTGGTGATTTGACGAATAACTCAAATAATCACTCAATCGAACGATTCACAATAATTTCCCTTGATCATAGGAGGGATTTAATAATTTCAAAGCCTTAATGACCCATAAATTAAGGGAGCTTAGGTTAGTTGGATTCCTATCGTTAAGACACTCTATTTGACTTTAGGTACGTGAAATTTGGAGTTCATTTGACTTTTCAACTAACTACCCAAACCTTCAAATGTAGTTCAATGGTTTGATCTATGCTTGATTGCACCGGGATTGGACCAACTTTGGTATCATCAGGTTTTTCTTTTCGAGATGCCAATTTGACTCTAAAATTGCTGAAATTGGAGCTATAAATTTTCTTTAACTTGAATCAAGATTTTTTATTTTCAGAAATGACTTCGTGCCAAATAAAAAAAAAAAATGTTAATGATGCATGAAAATTTATGAGACATCACTTTTCATTTTTTTAAAAATAAAATATTGAAATTATATCAATCAATATATTTTTAAGAAAATAAAGTAAAATAGATGTCAAATAAGCGTTAGATAAGCTAATAGAAAATAATAGTGGTATGTATGTACATCTTTTTTTTAATATTTATAAATTGTAATAACAGTGAGGCACTCTTATAATATGCTGGCCAGGGAAATGACGATGTTAGAATTCTAATTTAATATATTGGCATTGTATGGAAATTCATCACATACACAAATAATGATCAAGTAGCAGGAGCAGACATTAAGATTTTTTGAATAAAAAATTAAAAAAGAGAAAAAATATCGTTGCGTAGTCCAGTCAAAATGATCAACAAAAAAATTACAAGTACAAAGATAGACCCTTATCTGAAAATTGGGAAATAGTTACAATGTTACACCAAGTACAAAGTTTGTTCGTATACATTATAAAGAAAGATTTGTAGTATTACGAATATGACGCTCAAGAGCAGTTGCAACTGCGAGTTCTAGTTTGATCTTTAATACATCGTGTTTGAGTTACATCAACACAGTTTTTAGGATACTTATTGTTAGCGATGGAGCCCAATCATTGATTCCGTCTGCTCCCACACACGCGTGAAGCGACTTCGAGCGTCACTTCGCCAGTTTCGTGAATCAGCGCATTCCCGCGAAGCGCTCGCTCCCGCCCCTATTCCCGATCGAGAACAGTCACGACCGCGAGCCTGCGGATTTGCGAACTGCTCCCGACTCCAAGTCCGCGAAACGACGCCTGCCTCTCGTCTCCTTTAAGTTGTGAGCAGAAGAGGAAGAAAATGTGAAGCCATGATTTTGGTGTTCTTTTACGATTTTCTCGGGATAGAGGAAGGAAAGTGTAAGCAGTAGAGGAAGGAAAGTGTTAGAGGAAGGAAAGTGTAAGCAGTAGTTCCTTGCGGTAGAAGGAAGAAGAAAGAAGAAGAAGAAAATTGTTCTTCTTTGGCTTCTTCTTAGTGGCTTGTGGCAGAAGAGAAATTTGACTTATTTCTCCTGTAAGTTTGTCTTCTTGGTGTATCTCAGTGTAGAGTTTCTTCGGTGTATCTCGGTGCAGAGAGAGAAAAATAGAGAGAGAAGAAGAGAGGGCAACAAAGTTAGAGATTCCTCTTGTAATTCGAGACAATCAACTGATGTAAATTCCTCAATTAGTAAAATTTTCTGTAACTTCGTGGACGTAGTCAATTTGCCGAACCACGTAAATTTGAGTGTTCCGTTGTGTTACTGTTTTATGATGTGAATTTTTTCTCGTTCTATTTTTTTCACTTCATGGATCGTTCTCCTGTTTGATTTATATATATACCACAATCAACTGGTATATCTTATGCCATCACATCTTTACTAATCATTATTCTTTGTTACTCAATAGAGTCCATCAACAATGGTAAGCATATGGCGACCATCGATAGGTGGGGGGCCGGTGGGCAATGATTTTATAGCTACGAAGGTCAGAAGTTATTGTCCTGATATTCAACCTACAATAACCCTAGATTAGAGCAGTGGTTTTTATAGGCTTCAGGAGAGGGAAGTTTTGGTCATTTGGTGAATAACTCCCCTGAAGCATATGTTAGTTGCATACATACACCGCATGCAGAGATGTATGCAGTGTCTGATTCTGATCATAGATCACGGTGATCTACGGTCAGAATGCAATCAAATTTTTTTGAAAAAAAAATTTTTAAGTGTGGCCCACCAATATACATTATGACCGTAGATCACCGTGATCTACGGCCATGATCGGACACCGCATGCATCTCTGCATGCGGTGTATGTATGCAATATTTTTTCCTCTATTGGAGCTTTAACCGATTATTGACCCAATAAAGGTATTTTGACAACTAACAAATTCAAATTCCATCAAATTTTGCTTAGGCTTTCCTGAGGGTACCTAATAACCTAACTAAGCAAACCCAACCCCAGTTGAACGCTAGTTAGGGTAAACCAACGCAAACTTAAACTCAAGTGCATCAAATCACAAATCTAGCTCATCCCAACATAAATGTCTAAGAGCTTTAGTTAAAGTTTCCTCTACGTTACATGCAATGGGCTAAACTATTGTAATTACTTGATGTTTAGAATATAAATAAATAAATGATTAAAATGGCACGAGGTTAAAATATATAATTTATGCATATTTATATTCAATTATAAATAAAATCCATTTTATTTTTTCTACCATGCTTTAACATTAAAAAAAAAAAATGTCACAATTATTATATTTTTTAAAAATAAAATACACTTTTTCAAGCTTAGGTTTATAACAACAAAGGATTATAAATGTAAATATCAAATTTTATATATGCTAGATATGTGAATACATATCTTTGCATATGTAAATACATAAAAATTGTGTGGTATGTGTGTAAATTTCTCTTATATATATATTTCAAATACTGTCCCTTAAACTAATCAAGTAATACTGTAATATTTCAAATATAACTACACATACATTAACCGAACAAACTGTCTGCACCGGGAATGATAAACCCTAAAAAAGAAAAAAACAGATGCATTGCTCCCCATTTCATGGCGATCATCCAACGCTCAAAAACGATGCAGAACAACAAACACTAAAACTAGGGTTACAGAACCTCCTCCTGAATCACTTGCACTGCCTTGGCCTGAAGTTCTCCTTCGATAGATTCCTCTCCATAAGCTTCTGCAACCTTAGCGCTCCCGCGCCGGGACGAAGAACCGAACCATTTCCGACAACCAGACATGGATCGCTGCCATTATCTCTCCTCCCCGCACACCAACCCCCCGGAACGACCCTTCCGGGCCGCCTGAACAACAGCTCTGCATCGATCCTGTCGAGCACCGGATCGTTTCTTCGAAACTTCCTCGCAAATGGCGCGTTGCTGGCGATCATGGCCTCCATGTCTCTCGAGTTGAGGTAATGCGGGTGCTGCCTGGGGGGGTTGTCCCATGAGATGAAATGAAGGTCATGGTTGACGGTGGTATTGGCGAACTCTTTAGCGTTGCAGAGCACAGTGTGGAAGTAGCCTTCAGGCGAGGAGAGGAAGTTGGCGTAGTACATGAGGACGGTTCGAGGGAGATTGTCCCACCCCCATATGCAGTAGTCGATGAAGGAGCGAGAGAGCACCATCCATGCAGATCCTGGTAATGAATTTAGAGTTGAGGTGGATTAGAACTCCATTATGTTATTGAAGCTGTGTTAGCATTGGGGCATTTATATACATACCATCCAATTTCTGTGTATTTACATAGCTAATATCTAAAATTTTCTTTTTTTTTCATTTCTGACACTCAAATTTATAGAAATTGCTGACAAAAATGATGACCAGTTTGGTGACAGTTAAAACATGCATTTGCAAAAATCTTATACTGAAATGTTAAAGAAAACAAATTTCCCCAAGTGTCCTTATTAGCTGTAGTGTTATTACCCTTAGATGTAATGGATGCCACAAACTAAACCTTATTACTTTAATGAAATGATGTACTCTCAAAAGATATGGTAACCCTCTGAGATATTAGCAAAAAAGATTTCACAGATCATTAGCCAAAAAAATAATACAGCAACATAACAAAAAATGATATTATGATTTAAGCCCAACAAATAATACAATGATGTAAACATGCAAGAATTTTAGTTAAAATCTGGTAGCCAATAAAACCAGCTAATAAAAAATTAAATTCCAGATAATCTAATATTTGCTCCATAGTTTCAATTAAAATTAAGAGTTCTGAAGAATAAAACATCAAATAATGTAGAAGAAATAGATAAGTAAAAACTACTGAGAAAAATCAGGCCTCATGTTAGTGCAAGGAGATGACTTTCACCATAATTAGATTCTCACCCTTGTATAACATAAAAAGGAATCAGACATTCAACTTGTACTCATGAGAATAAAAGTTGGAAGATAAAAATTTTATACAAGCCAAAAATTCTTAATTGGAAATCTCAAATTACCATTTATGGACTCCACATAGCTTAAGCTAGAAGATACAATGTATAAGAGATCAATCTTAATATAAAATTAGATTATTGTGCATTTAATTTTAAAATCCTTACATAACTACTTGCATCTAGATGCAAAAATTTTGCTACAATAATGTTACAATACCTGTAACAATATCCTCAAATGTCACGGCCAAAACAAGGGAAAATCCCTACAATGCATGTTGACAAGTGATGCCATCACCTCCTTTAATTTTTTGCAATAATTGTAAATTACACTTCATCAATCCAATAATAATCTCACATCAAGAAGAATGAGTCATATGAAATTCCTTTGTAAAGAGCATGGTATTATTCATTTGCGCCTCTTTATTCACTCAAGTCTAACGGTGTAGCAAAAAGGGAAAATAAAATCTCTAAAGAGAGATGAACGCGATGTTGATTAATTCAAGGGCACCTCTACTTATCATATTCAACATAAAAAAGATGGAGAAAACCCATATAACATTTGAGAGAATCATTTATCAAACCTTAGTAATTCATAAATGTGGGAGTATTTACCTAAAGGTTTTATTGCTTGAACATAAGAAAAGAAAAATAGGATCTATGAGTGTTGATTGTTCTCTTTGGAAGTTTTAAGCCTTGTGTTGTTTATAGATTTCTTGCATTGTAAAGTGGTGTCATAAATTCAGGTAGCATAATTAATTCAAAGAATGTAGTATTCTTTGAGGATTTCTTCATCTGAAATGCAAGATAGACCTCAAAATCCTCTCAACTCTAGTTCTAGCAATGAATCTATCTTTACTCTCAGGAGTAATTGAGTTAGGAGTGCAACTAACTGTGGCAGTTCTAAATAAATCTTTTATATGACAAACCATTATTTTTTAAGTCATTAATTCTATTGATGCTTCATTTTATAAAGACAGATCAATAATGACATGGATTCTATCACGCCTAACCATAGTTGGGGATTAGTTTATCTTCCTACTGATGTTAAAATAAGTAAATTTAAGTGAACTTCTGAAAAGTAGTTAGATCAATTGATAAATTTAAGGGATAATTAAAGCGAATTTGGTGGCTAGGGATTTTATACAAAAGAAAGACTTAGAAATTTTTGGCACATTCGCTTGTCACTCATATATCATCTATTAGGGCATTGGTTGCATTTGCCTTTACAACCTTGCTCTGATACCATAACACTTTTTGAGAAAATTGGTTGGATGTCTTTTTCCTTTGCTTTCATTTCAATAAATAATAACTTGTACAATCTATTTTAGGTAACCTAATACATATTCCTAATCTAAATATATCCAGTTATAAGGAAAGAATATGTACAATTACCAAGGGAGGCAAATCAGGAGAGAAAAATTGGAAGCAATTTAAATAAGGAAACTCCCAAGTGAAATAAGGAAACTCCGAATTCTGCTGCATGATTTCTGTCATTCTTGATTGATAATTAGCTTATCCATCAAATAGATGTTCTATTAATTGATTTAGAAAAATGCTTGCTGCATCAAGTTGAAGGTTTTCTTATTCCTAACAAGGAAAATAAAGTGTGTAAAATAGTCAGCTTCTTTATAAAAATAGGCTAGGAAAAAAATAGCATATTAAGCTTTATTATGTTATGATATTCAATGTATTTGTGATTAATGATGTAGAGAGATGTACCTATCCTAAATTTAATTTGGATAATCATGATTTGCTTGTATATTTTAAATGCATGACTTGCTTATTTTTAGAAATAATTTAATTATTACTGATGAAGTCGAAATCTTATTATCATCTATTTTTGCCATGAAAGACTTAGGTGAAGCCAATGCAATATTAGCTATTAAGTTGTCTAAATATGGTAAAAGTTTCTGCATGTCACAATATCACATTTGTTGAGAATATTCTAAGAAATTTTGAAAACTTCACACTAAACTAGTGTGCTAGTGTCATGGGCGGACCCATGCATAGTTGAGAGGAGGGCAGTACCCCCCTTGAAAATATAATTATTCCCGTACACAAATATATATTCCTAACTCCTAATTATAGGAAACTCCTAAGTTAAATAAGGAAAGTCCGAATTCTAGCTGCCTGATTTCTGTCATTCTTGATTGATAATTAGCTTATCCATCAAATAGATGTTTTATTAATTGATTTAGAAAAAGGTTTGCATGCATTAAGTTGAAGGTTTTATTATTCCTAGCAGGGAAAATAAAGTGTGTAAAATAGTATATTAGGCTTTATTATGTTATGATATTCAATGTATTTATGATTAATGATGTAGAGAGATGTACTTATTCTAAATTTAATTTGGATAATCATGATGTGCTTGTATATTTTAAATGAATGACTTGCTTATTTTTAGAAATAATTTAATTATTACCAATGAAGTCAAAATCTTATTATCATCTATTTTTGTCATGAAAGACTTAGGTGAAGCCAATGCAATATTAGCTATTAAGTTGTCTAAATATGGTAAAAGTTTCCGCATGCCACAAGATCACATTTGTTGAGAATATTCTAAGAAATTTTGAAAATTTCACACTAAACTCAAATGAAGGAAAACTAGGGTGCTTGTGTCGTGGGCGGACCCATTCATAGTAGAGGAGAGGGCAGTAGCCCCCTGAAAATACAATTATTCCCATACCCAAATACATATTCCTAACTATTTATCACTAAGGGGAGTTTATTTTCTCATTTATCACGACTATATATTATTGCCCAACCGTCCCTTGCCTTCAAACAAACAGGTGCAAGCCCATTGAGCTCCATTAAAGCATCAAATCAAGCTAATAAATCTTAATAAGTTTAGAATTTAATTATTTATTTTAAAAGTTTTTTAATTCTTCTAACTCAAAGACCTCGCTGTGAATTTTATGCCTATAAATTGCTAAATAATTTTATTGTTTTGTTCCTCTGTTGTATTTAAGCAACAAAATACTTAATCATTACAAATGTGGGACTAAAAGTCTTTTGAAGTTTTGTTTTTCCGACAGGAACATTGGCCTTTTTCTCCTATTTTAGAGGTATTTTCAAACATACCACCCAATTTCTATCTATTTACATTTATAACACCTAAACTTTAATTTTTATATTCATACCACTAAAATCATTCATATCGCATAAAAAATATCATAATTTTATTATTATTTTTTTAAATACACATTTTCATGCATGAGAAAGGTTGTATGTAGGTAAAAAATTGAAGTTTAGGTGTTAGATATGTAAATACATAGGAATTGAATGGTATGTTTGTAAATCTTCCTAAGCCAAAAATATCACCATTTTATTGCAATGGTATTGTTGTTTTGTTAAAAAAAAGCCTTTAATTTTGCATACTCACAATATATTTGTATTACAAAATTCTCTCCTTCACTATGAAGGTCTTTGAATCTTACATCAAAAACCTCCTAGTCATCTTCTTGAAGCGTTGAATTCATCTCCATCCCACCTGAAAGTTCTCTCCTCTCTCAACATCCCAGTCAAAGAAACTTTTAATTTAACTTAAAATATAATATTTTAATTTTTGTATCTATCTGAACTCACTCTGTAACTGATGCTATAGATCGAGTCAGCAAAAAAATGTTCTAGACAGGGAAGTAAGAATAAGTAAAGATAGGTTTAACTTTAAAATGTTCTAGACATAAATTGTTCTAGACAGCAGAAAACTTTTGGTTTAACTTCAAACATCTTTTATTTTTCCTACATTCAGAATCTAATTTGTATATCTTATTACCTTGTAGAATTATTATTCTTCAAGGAAACCTATCCTAATTTGGAAATTGACAATAATTTGGGAGAATATGTTGCAGGTATAATAACGAATAATGATTTATTTTAAAAATAACAGATGATATGCCTTTATTTTTTTTAAAAAAATACCAACAGTGCGTCGTTATTTAAAAATAGTTGATGATTAAAATAAACAAAAAAATTTTGAATGTTTTTTTCAATTTATTAATGATAATGAAACACAAAATTTTGTTTTGAAATATGTGATATTGCTTCTATTATTGGTAAAATTAATCTATTCATATAATAAGTTTGCCCCCTAAAAGTAAAGGTTGGTTCCGCCCCAAACTAGTGTCTCATAGCACGAGTGTACACAAATCAATAGAAACTTGATGTAACTAATGAATTGCCCAAGTCCTACCATTGTAAAAGCAATGAATAAATTGAGTAGTTATAATCCTAAAAATAATTACTAGTTTGTTTTGTGTAAATTCTTAATATTTGAAAGGCACTGTGAATAATTCTTTACATTTTATTTTATTTCCAATTATGCTAAAAAGATTAAGTGAGCAAATTGGATATGTAATTCAAATGAGACCAAGTCCACTTTGGTTATGTTTTTACTCTTGGAAGAGGTTCAACATCATGAAAATACTAAGCAATTGATCCCTATAAAATTCAAGTTCATTCCACCATAAAAGGTACGTATAGATGTGAAATGGCTTAGAAACCTTTTTGCAAAATACATCTTTACAGAAGAGACCAATTTCGCCTAAGTTGCTTCATTATGATAATAAAGATGGTAACCCAACTTATACAAAATGACGCTTATATTAGTGATATCATGGACGATCATTTCGTTAGGTTTTATTATTTTCCATTAGTTTCTTGATGAGACTTATGCCTAGTATAGAAGTTAATAGAGATAGTAACCCAACATACGTGACTAGAGATTCCAAGAAATAGGTTTATGTTGGTACAATATGTTTAAAGGTTAACTTTGTAAGGGATCACCTCTAAATTGACTAAACTTGCTCATTTGTATGGTGTTGCATAGCTTACAATTGTAATGAAAGATGGTGTGTTTAGTTGCAAAGTGCGCTTGATGGAGTCGTGATATAAGTGTGGAAGTAAGGCTCTTCCAATGAAATTTAAGGAACTCTTTCTAAACCAATCAAACATATAAGACAGGTTCAAGGCCAAAATGAACAAATTGCAATGAACAACCTTCTTTGATTCCCATTTGACAAAAATTCACAACTCATGTTTATTGCATATATTTCATTAACATATTGATAATTTGTCCAAATAGTTTCATTGTTTTATTTGCTGCGTTTCAGCATTTTTTCTCTTATATACAGTATTTTCTACCATTTCCATACATGTCAGAACAACAAAATTTTATCTTCAAATGCCATATCTACAATTCCTTTTATATAATTAATTCTAAGCTCATCCGTTATAATTTGTCAAACATTCACCTTAGCATTCAACATGGTCATACCAAAACATGCAACAAACATCCATAACATCACTATAGAGCACTGCATCCTTGTATTTTCTTAGCAAAATATCATGTTTATCTGTCTAATTATGCTTCATCACAATAATTATAAAAAATTATCACAGAATAAATGGTATAAATCAATTCAAGAGATCCGCAAACAGATATAAACAAACAATTCTGCATCCAATAACTATGCAAACAAACTATGGATCAACAGATCAATTGAAAAGAGATACACAACAGAATTGCAGCCACAGAATTACTCAAGAAAATCAGAAAAAATGTAAAACTAGAAACATTTTAGAAGGCTATGATTTTTTTACCTGTAAAAAGCTTGAAGGCAGTTGGCACACTTCTTCTCTGTGGTATCCAGAAAACATCCTGCTTCTCTGACATGTATAGTCCTGGATCAATAATTATTGGTCTCGCCCTTTGAAACCTGCAACAAGAAGAAGAAGAAATTTTAGCTCCAATTTAACACTAATGAGAACTCCATGAAACCAGAAACATCTTAGTTCGAACATACTCCTTCCATCCGATATTACTCGTATGATCAATAAAGTTCAGATCCCGCGGCATATAGGAGAAAGTATGCAACAGATCTACAACATAAACAAGATCAAACCATTAAAAAAACCAACTTTTTTTTTCCAAAAAAGCAGAAATAAGAGGAGTCAAGAAGCAAACTTGTTACCATCCTGTGTTACCAGAGGATAATCCGCCGCACTCAGATTAATAAACCAATCCCACTCCCCACCTTCCCTAAGCAGCACGGCAGCTGCGTGGAGAGTGTTGGCGACCATCGTAGGCCCACGGTAGGTCACAAGATTGGCCTTTGTGATCATTTTAACATTTCCCACCTCCTTGAAGACCGGATGGTTGGCGACGAAGTCTCGGAGATCAAGCCTCTCCTCCGGCAATGCGGCGGCTTCCAGGTGAACGATGTAGCGGTTTGAAGGATGGTAAAGAGCTTGAAGCGTACGCTTGAGCATGGAGCCATCTCCGGCGGAGCCGGAGATGAGGTAGGCGAGGCGCGGAGGAAGCGGGAGAGACGAAGAAGAAGAGGAAGGGGAGGAGAAAGATTGAAGCTTTGATTCGACGAAGGTGGGGGAATAGAAGGCAGAAGAAACACGGGAGGAGGAGAGGAGGGAGAAGAGGAAGGAGAAGGGGAGGAGAGCGGAGGGGGTTCCAGGGGAAGAAAGGGTGCTGAAGAAGAGGAGGAGGAGGGAGAAGGAGGAACCGATGGCGATAGGCAGAATCCATCTGCGGTCTAAAGCTGGTGGGCGGAGCAGGATGAAGCTTAAAATTTTCATCTTTCGGCTTCTTCTTCTTCTTCGTTCCTTTCAACCTCTGAAACGCAGCTCTTTCTGTGGAATGAATGAAATAGAGTTACCAGGAGGAGGGGATTAACTGAAGGGGATTAATAAAGAGGAAATTGGAAAGGAGAATCCGTTTGCCATCTGAAACAAGAGAGCGGAGGTGGAAGAATAAAGCTTTCATCTTCGGCCCTCGATCTGGGAATGTGTCTGTTTACTGTGACATTAATGGGAAAAGGAAGGTTTTTCGGGCGTGGGGGAAGTGTGGAGTTTTTCTGGGGTGTGGGGATTAAATTCAAGCGGATCATTTAAGAGATTTAAAGACGGAATTTAGATCTAATGTGAGAGGGCGTGAGCGTTAGTGAGAGGGAGATTGGGAAATTGTGGTTGGGTTATAGTTGGGGGATTTGTTGGGCTTGCAATATTTTATGAGGAAAATTAAATTTGGTGAGGAAGATTTGCAATTTCTTATTTGTGTATGAGCAAATTTTGGTTTGTTTGGTTTCAAAAGAGATTAAAATAATTTTAACTTTTAGAAGTAGATATAACTGAAGAACTTACATTTCATTTATAATAATTTTATGAAAAACGATTTGGTATTTTATTTTATTTTATTTTTTGTATGAGGATAGTTTAGGTTTGTTTGGTTTCAAAAGAGAATAAATTAATATGAATTTTCAGAATTAGATATAACTGAATTACTTACATTTCATTTATAATAATTTTATGATAAATGATTTTTGTATTGATACGACATCAAAAAATTTTCATCAATCGGTAAGAATCTCGAAGCATGACATGATTCTCGAGACAAATTTTTGTGTAAGAAAAATTCAAACTTTGTTTAAAGGTCATTAAAAACTTCTATTATAGCAAACTTATAGTCAATTTTCGACGAGACAGATACACCAAAATTGGTTCAATCTTAGTTAAATCAATCCCAAATCAGGTCGATAAACTATTTTTTGGAAGCTCTTAGTGCATAATTGAAAGGTTAAGTGAATTTAAAAAATGTCACTTATAGTCTAATTGGTTGTCTCTATAAGACAAGTTCAGCGAGCCCAAGATCATTTAATCCTGACATCATTAGAACAATTAAATGTCCATCGAATTTCGTCCGATCAAGGAAATATTCTCAGGTTGTCTTATCAGAGTGGTTTGGATTTCTTTGCTATTTGCCATATGGACTCTATAAATAGCTATACCCCTCTCTTGAGAGGAGCTTAGACCTTGGGCCAGAGGAATATCAGGGCTTGGAGATAAAGGAGCTGAATTATGGTATTCTGCACAGATGATCCAGTGAACACATCTCGCCCTTGCATCTGTCGACCACTATTGGCCATCGTTAGTCGGTCATCGTTGACCATCTTCAGCTGCCGCCTACCACCATCGACTGCCACCAACTCCTTGCGATAAGACACTGTAAGAAGCAACAATAGTCACCGCAGAGTCACGAAACAACCTACAAAGCAGTACATCATTTTGAAAGTTGTGTCGACCCCAAAAACGGTGTACCGAAGTTCCAACAGCGACTCCACACCGAGAGCACTCCCTATCGTGGGACAACAAGGTTTTCTTCTCACGGACGTTATAACTCGATAAATTGTGTAACACTTTCACGTCTGTGGGACAAGGAGTCATACCTGTAATCATTAATTCATAATAGAACATTTCAATTGTGCAATTCTCCGTTGGATTTTTTTTTTTGATTTTTTCACGTAAAAACTTTTATTGTCTCACTTTTGTTGTCTCTATTGGTTGTCTGCTTTTATCTGAGTATGTGTTGTATTTTCGTACAACGTCAAGTCAGTAATTTGTTACTTTACCACCACGATAACGGGAATACATTGCACAAATCTCGAGGAGATCCATTATTCAAAAGTCAAAAAAATGCAACTAAGGAGGATCCATCAGTAAAAGACCAGGAGGTCCACTTATCTACTCAAACTTAACTTTCTGAACCAAAGCAAAGGTCAAAGTCGACCAAATGCAGCCATCAAAGCTTGAGCCGACAAGACTAAAGGCATTTGAATGGTCTGAGCCCAAACTCATCTAACCAAGAAATGACAGATAGGCATGCAAGCCCACCACCATAAGAAAGCCTATTGCAATCGATAATCAACCTTTAAGTAGGCCAAACTCAAGGAGAGACTCGACTCCTCAGCAATATCAATCATATCACAGACGCCTCAAAGACTCCTCATTAGGGATCGAGATTCGAGATGTAATCATGTTATAAGAAGTCAAAATCATCCCTCTAACTCTCCATATTGGGGAGTAAGTTCTTTTATTGAGTTATGGTAATTCACCATCTGCTCGATAACCTGACATCACTTAGCTAACATGAGCTCCTCACCGGAGAACGAAGGTCAAAAGCTAAATTACATCGATCGATCAGCAAAGCCTAGCCAATCGAGTTGTCCTGCCGACTTGAAGTCAACCGATAGCCTCGACTCAACTTAGTCGACCGAGAGGGTCTTATTAAACCGAGACACGTTGAGCTTAGTTGATTGAGCCAGAAGTTAGTCGAGCCATCGGCATATACATGCAAAATACCTAAAATATCATGTAACATTACCATTAAAAATGATCAAACTCAGAACTTCACTTATTGTACCCTTCTCCTATAAATAAAGATTTATTATGAAATAGAGATGATTCATTATTGTGCACTCTTATCTTCTTCTCTGTCTCTCCCCCTGCTTTCTTATGCTCTAACTCTTGAATTGTGATTCATAGACAAATTAAGATTGAACGTTTTGGCTCGAAACACTACTCATCAAGTATTTATATATATATATATATATATAAAGTGGTATTTATGTAAATCTTTCAATAAACAATTACAATCTACAATGATACAGCATTTCATCATACAAACAGCAGAAGCAAATATCTTTATTTTGGTTTGACTTAGATTGGATCGATTTTGGTATCATTGACTTTGTCTCGTCGAGCCGGTCAGTTTCACAATAAGTTTTCTAAAATCAAACTTCTGGATAACTTTTTATCAAAGTTTTAATTGTTTCTTGCTCAAAAAACTATCTCGGGATCCATGCTTTTCGTGAGATTCATGTCAAATGATTGAAATTTGTTGATGGCGTCTACCTCATATATTTTCTTAATATGGTTTGAAAAGTCCTTAGTGAGAACTACTTTAGCATCATTAAGAGAATCAAAGGACTAAATTAGTATTTTTATAGACTCTTAGGTTAAACATTCCCTTGAAAAGAGTCAAATGACCCTTTTGACACTTTTCTCCGATGCCCATAGATGGTAGGAGATTACCTTCAATGAAAGCTGTGAATTTAGCTCGAAGATCGTTAATTGCTCAAAACAATGAATCAAATTTTGTCTTGAATTGAAATCAGATTGGAATAAACAAACCAAGTTATGAGCTAAAATTTTTTATTGAATTTTTTTCAAGTTGATTTTGAGATATATAGGGACCGGCTAGAATTGACTCGACATCAACTCATAATATTTTTTATTTATAAAAATTATATATAATGCTTAGTAAATTAAATATAACGAGTCACGATCCGATTTCGAGCTGGAGCAGATTTAAATAACTTTATTTGAGTTAGTTAGTTTCAATTTCAAGTCGGATCGAGTTGATTCTGAGCTGCAACAGATCTAAATAACTCAATTTGATCCAGCTTGTTCCAATTTCGAGCCGATAGAACTCAATTCAATTTCAAGTTGGCTTGGCCCGAAATCAAATATAACAAGTCCAAAGTAGATTTCAAGCCGCACTAAATCTATTTGAGCCGTCGGATCGTTAAGAAACCCACCTTCAATAGGGTCATAAGCAATTGGAGTTTTTGACAAATGCAAATCGTAACTTGGCATTGTTGTAGATCCATTGATATGTGGGTTCTCAATAGCTGCCCACATTGCTTCACCATAGAACTTGAGCAAGAAGAAAAATGGTTCAATGAGAAGGTTAAGGATGAGCTAAACTTTACACTCTATGATAGCTCAGGATATGAGAAATTGATAAGTGTAAGTTAATATTGCTAGATGAAACTTGAGATATGATGCATATCTCGAGATAATCTTTTAAACAAGAAATATTTAAACTTCAATTAAGAGTCGTTCAGAGCTCCGATTTTAGCAAAATTATAGTCAAACTGACTAGCTCGATGAGACATACCCAATGATATCAAAATTAGTCCAATCCGAGTCAAATCTAGCTCAGATCAAGTCATTAAACCACACTTGGAAGTTTTCCAGACATATTTAGAAGGTCAAAACGAATGTCAAATCTAGCAAGCTTATAGTCGAATCGAGTGTCTTAAAAAGACGACTCCAATGAGTCCAAGATTGTTTAATTCTGACATCGTTAAGATAATTAAATGTCCATAAAAACTGTTTGATTGAAGGAAGCTCTCTAGACCATCTGATCATACCGGTTCATATTCCTGCATTAATTACATCCAGAACACTATAAATAAAGTTCTACCTCTCTCATGAGGGGGAGGAGAGTTTGTGATTAGAGGAAAAGCTTGAAACCTTGAGAATGAACTGATGTCAAGCGCCACAACCGCCGATCACCACTAACCTCTGTCGACTACCGCCGATCGCCGTCAACCACCGTTGATCGCCGCCGATCGTCATCTACAATAGTTGACCACTGTCGGCCACCGCCGACCTCCGCCGACAACCGCCGACCGTCGTTGATCACAACCAGTCTCCGTCAACCACCGCTGACCACCAACCACCATTGACAAACACCGATCGGATGCCGCCAGTCGTTATTGGTCGCCACTCATTTCTAACAACAAATTCATCAGTACGTAGACGTTATAACTTGAGAAACCTAGTAACTCTTTCCTGTCTTTAGAACAAGTCGTTACAACTGTAATAATTTTTTTATAGTGAAACTCTTTAGTTGGGTCAGACACTTGGTTTTTCCCTTTCCGAGTTTTCCACGTTAAAACTTATGGTGTCATTATTAGTTACTTTCTCTTTTCTAGGTGAAAGATGAATCTCCGTACCACGCTAAGACGATAATCTACTAATATACTGCCTCAAATTTTCTAACACGCATCATACATGATGGCTTGAAAATAAAAATCTTATTTATAAAATAATAAATTATTAAATTAGTAAAATGATTTGTAGTTAAATGTTTAAAGATGAATGATAAATTAAACCACATGTCTATCATAAACAAATAAAAACTTACATATTCTTACATATATATCAATCGTAAAGTTTGGTATTTACACTTACAACATTTGGGTGTCATAAATTTCTACATTAAAAGAAGTGCTTCACTCTTAAAAAGTTAGTTGTTGAATCAAAAAATGTCCCGTGAATCACACTCAAGTTATAGAGTAAAGGGGGATGATAGTAAGAAAAAATGAGAAATGAAGTATATAATAACACATTTTTTTAAAAGGATAAATTCAATAGTTCTTTATTGAAGAAATGACTCTCACTTTATAGGTTCTAGGGGTATCTCACAAATTGTATATCTGTCTTTGCTTAAATAGGGTCTTTTCATATTCGTAATTGACTTTGGGGCCATATAATATTGACAACTGACGTTGGCACCTCTCTGTTTTCATATCTGCTGAAAAAAAGACTTTTAAGACTTGTTAGAGTTGTCATTCAGTCATTCAATTGATAGAAAACGGTTTTCAATCTGCTGGAATACCTTTGATCGATCTTCTCAACAATATCCTCAATAGAGATCCTCTTGTCCTCAGGGTGAACTTGGACCGCAAAGCTGAAGGTGTATCATCGTAATCTAGCGGGCAACTCTCATAGAATAATGAACTTTCTAAGAGGATTAGAAAGTGACGCTCTTTGGTCATCTATGTGAAAAATCTCAGAATCAATCGAGGGGAATGACTGTTTCTCGAATCACGTGCTTTCTCTTCTTTCATTCGACTGTGCTTTCGTTCAGTCAGTTCATAGTTTCAACCGAAAGAGTCGACACTTGGCGTCTCTGTCTTTTAACAATCCCTATGCAATTCTTTAATATTTATTTAGCGACATCCATTGAATTTTCTGGAGATTCTTGGATATGATGTTAAATATTTGAGTGTTATGCATATAAATATAAAAGCTTAGGTTGTACAGATGTAAATATTATTAGAATTGTGTGGGATGCATGTAAATAGCCAAAAAAAAAAAAAAAAACCAAAAAAAAAAAAAAAAAAAAAAACATTATTTAGATAAATTATCTATAATTAGAACCCCATTTGCCGGTTTACTTTTGCGATATGACGGATCACAAAACCCATATCCGTCGCCTCCGACGTCTTCCCTAAACCATCCGGCGATCTCCCAGTACCCTCACATACTCTACCGTCGAGCACGCCGTCTAAGTCACTGCCACGCCCCGGTGCCGGCCGCCCAGCCTGAAACTTGCTGCTAATGTCGCCGGAGAGACACGTTTGGCCGGTACATCGTTTTCTTCTTCATCTCTTCTTTTTTGACTCTAGTTTAGGGATTTATCCTAGCCACAATCGGCTTCCTTTCCTCCTGTAACCTCATTTAACCTCATCGTAATCTTCTTATTCGTATCGCAGCAGTTTCGCCGTTAAACCTATCCGTCGCCGCCTCTTTGCTGCACGAGCACTTTTTCGCTTCCCACTGTGGCAGTAAGTGAGTGAATACTACACAGCTTGATTTCAATTTTGCGGAGTAGAATTTAGGAGCAATTTTTCTAATCTTTAGCCGTCATAATGAATCTGATTTCATGCGTTGCTCATTGTAAGTAATCTGCTTCAATTATGATTTAAATTTTATGTAAAATACTAAATTGAGTTGCTTTTTTATTATAATTTAAGTTCAATAATTAGTGCTGAAAGCATGGATTTTGGAAAAAAAAATGTCTTTTATTGATTTTGTTTCGCTTTAACCATTCTAGGTCACTATATGCGTGTATTGAAAGGCCAAATAAAGAAAAAAAAGGAGTGTTAGATGCAAATTTGCAGAAGCTAGAAATATTTTGCAGTCATGTGCTGATCTTTCCATAACGTGCAAAGAGAGTAATTTCAATCCCTTCTAAAACTACATTTTGAGGGACAGTGTTAGGGTTCTCGGTAAGTTTACAATGGACTGTTTTTTGTAATGACCATTTAATTAATAAAAGCATACTTGGTAAAACCCACCCAAAATTTTTGTGGTGAACAAGTATTTATGGAAAATTAAGTCATGAGGAAGCAAGTAAATGTGTGATTCTTGTAGAAAAATATTATGTTTGATCATGCGTTAAAACAAGAAGGGCACCGAATGTTAACATTTGGTCAGACCTATAAATTGAATATTTGCTTCACTTGTACCATGGTTTCTTTTAGGATAGTTTCTTGATTGTTTTGAGATGAGGAAGGCAACCCCAAAAAGGGTAGTGCCTATTTCAATGAAAAAAAGTGTAAAATTTTCTCTTCTTTTCACAAAATTTTATTTAAAAAGTTTAATTTTGGGAAAACAAATAGGAACTATGATTGAGAAAGAAGCTCTTAGACATCTCTAACAACAAAGAAACAAAATGGTAAGTCTCTAATTAACTTAGTTTTTATGTTTTGGAGATGCTTATATTGACTAAGTATCATATTGAAATATTAAGTCAATTGTTTCATCATTTTTTTGGTTAAAGATTTTTTTTTTTAATTTTGGTAAAAATATTTGTTGGAAAACAAGAAATAATAAATCAATAATAAGCTATTTGGCTACTTTGTAATTATATGTTTAAGAAACCTATATGTATAAATAATTGGAATGCATTTAATGTTGTTAAATTATTAAATTATCTTGGAATTAGTGAAAAAGATACTTGAAGGCCTATGATTTTTCTTTTTTTGGGATCACAGAAGCTTGAACCCCATGTTAATGGTTGAGTTCCTATTCATTGTGGTATTTTGAAGTGTATTATTTGATTCAGCTTTTTTTTACCTTTAATAGGGTTTCTATACGGCTGTCAATATAAGAATATTTTTATATTTATGTTCTTCGTTTGTTGTTAGGTTTGAATTAAGTATGGAGAATGACAGTACTGGGAATGCCATGGTTCTCACAGAAGTGGGTTGGTATGTTCTTGGGCCGTGTGCAGAACAACTAGGGCCTTATGTTCTTTCGGAATTGCGGGGTGAGTGTGCCGGTAAATTTTTAAATGTCACGGCTTCCAGTTTTTGCTCAGTAAATTATGATAGTTCAATTCTTTTTATTTTTCATAATCATGCTTATATAGTGAACTTGGGGTAGTTTGTTTAATTGGGCATTTACATATATACCACATAATTCTGATGTATTTACATATCTAACATCTAAACATTCATATTCACATGCATACCACTTAAATCTTTAATATCACAATAAATATCATCATTACTACCTTTTTAAATGTGAAATACAACTTTTCATGCAAAAGGTTGAAACCAAGACGTGATAAGTGTAAATATGAAACTTTGAGTGTTAGATATGTAAATACATAAGAATTGTGTGGTAGGTATGTAAATTTTACTTGTTTAATTCTAAAAAGCCACTACTGATGCCTTTGTGCTCTTAAAACAATAGCTGATAAATTGCCATTTCTTTTATGCCTTGACATGCCCACCTAAATGGTTTATAGGTACCTGCACGCTTCGCATACATGAATAAAGTTGCTCATCTAGTTTATATACTGTTGTGCAGCCTACTTAGCTTTATTTGTTGAACTGGGCAGAGCATTTTACAAATGGGTACATTTCAGAGGGCACCTTTCTATGAAGAGTGATTGGCTGCCACTTTCTTCATTTCCTGAGCTTTTGGCAAATATGCCCCTCCATAGTCATGATAATACTACTGCAGCTGAAGGTTATTTTCTTGCCATATGTTTAGCTATTGTTTAGTAGATGATCTCTTATACATGTTTTGTTGAAATGTTAGATAGTGCGGATGATTTCGCAAAATGGCAAAAAGAGATCAATGAGGTAGAGGCAGAAACAAAGGCTTTGAATCATGAAAGTGAAACTGGCAGCCACGGTGATATTGGGGAAATACAGAGAGGAATAGAAACCAGCCTCGAAGATAGGCCAGTGACTCCGCCAGACGGAGAGGAAGAGTTTACTGATGATGATGGGACTATTTACAAATGGGATCATAGTCTAAGAGCATGGGTTCCTCAAGTAAATATATGGATTTGCATTATTTGAATAATCATTCTGTTTTCTTAGATCCTGAAGGTTTATTTTTCATCTATTTTTTATAAAGTTATTTTACTAGAAACATTGCTATTTGCAACTTTTGATTATGGTTTTCTACCTGCCGAATCATTTCTTTTCCGCTTCCATCATAATGTTGCATTTAGCATCTAGCTATTTAATGTACCGTGGAGCCTTTTAGTTTATGTGGTCTATATGCTGCTTTCTTTCATCAATTCTCGAGTATTCCTCGAAACTGTATCTTCTCTCAGCCTGCATTGTGTTTTATTTTAGGGAAATTTACATATATACCATACCATATTTATGTTTTCACATTTTTAGCACCTAAAGTATGATATTTACATTTATAACTCTTTGGTATTAAAAATCTATGCATGAGAAGGTGCATCCCACTTTTTAAAAGGTAGTGCTAGTGGTATTTTTGATGTGATTCAAAGATTTGAGTGTTATGCATGTAAATATGAAAGTTTAGGTGTTACACAGATAAATGCATAAGAATTGTATACTACGTATGTAAATTTCCCTTTATTTTATTTGTTTAGTTCCTGGTTCTGTACTTCTGTTTTGAGTAATTTAGGAGAGAAGCAATTTGATGTGATCTTCTACTTTTTAAGGATAATTTCACTGCAACGGAGGAATATGGACCTGAAGAGATGACTTTCTTACATGAGGAGGAAGTATTCCCAACGTTTGGCACTGCAGATGCTCCTGCTGTTGAAGGGGGTTCTGCTGAGTCTGAGAAAGCAGAAAACAAGTCCGAAGCTGAAAATATAACTGAATCTGAGAACAAATCAGTTGCTGAAAAGAAGTTTGAAACAGAGAATAAGTCCGAACCTGGAAAGAACGATGATCGAAAGAGAAAATTGCCTGATAATTCCACTCAAAAGAAGGTCCTTTATTACTTTACCTGGATTATCTAATAAGAATAAGAGTGTTCTTTTTAACTTAATCACATATATTGGGAGTGATAATTGAAAATGGAAAATCATCCATAATGGTTCTTGGTGACATATCAACAGGAACCAAATAAGGCTCCAGATAGTTGGTTTGACTTAAAGGTTAATACACATGTTTATGTTACGGGTTTACCGGATGACGTTACGGCTGAGGAAGTAAGTTCAGCGGACCATTCTTTCAACTTTATAGTATAACACATGATTTTAATCTTTTCTGTGGAATCAAATGAGGCCACCTTCTCTATGCTCGGCTTAATAAAAGAGTTTTTTTTTTTTCTCTCTAATGTATTGCAACCATAACTCCATGACCACTCAAAGTAATGCTAAATTCCTTGGTTTATTTCTTAACGTACAGGATTGATCTGACTTTTGGCATGTGCTTCACAGGTTGCTGAAGTTTTTTCCAAGTGTGGATACATTAAAGTGGTAAGTGACATTCTTTGATTTTATCTTCATTTATATGCTATATATCTGTCTTTGTCTATTATGCATGGTTGAATTTATTTAGTTAGTAGGACTTGTGGAAGCACGTTTTCCTGATACTGAAACTTATTTTTTTTTTCAAAAATATTTTCTTTCTAATATTATGCTTAAGTTGGGCTTAAATTTTGTCACTAATTAGTAGATTAATTTTAGTGGGCAGTTAGATGATACTGAGATTAATTTTTATAATTAGTTTAGGTAATTTCTGCTAACATAATTTGTTTCACTGTACAAAAATGTGTTTTAAATTATATATTGTGAATTTACTAGTAGTTCAAGGATTTTAGTACATGAAGAGGCCATTGTCCCGCCTAGGGCTGTAAACGAGCTCAGGCTTGGCTCGTGTTCGAGTAGTTCAAAATTGGCTCGTGAACAATGTGTTCTTGTTCGGCTCGAAATTGGCTTGTTAGAATATAAAATTATTATAATAATAATTTTTTAAATAAATTTAAAATAATAATTTTTCTAAAAATCTGTTTGTATAAAAATTAATTAATTATAATTTATAATATTTAATTTTATGAATATAATATTATATATTTATATATATATATATATATATATATTCGAGCCAATTCGAGCCGAACACGAGCGAACAAACTTTTGTTCGTGTTCTGCTCGTTTACAATTCAAACTTAAAAATTTGTTCGTGTTCGAAACGAACGAGCCAAACATGAACTGTTCACGAACAACTAGCCAAATTGACAGCCTTAGTCCCGCCACTGTCTTACATAATTTTCAATTGTGAGAGTGAAAATTTTGTGATATTGAGGGTTTGAATTTTGAGCTAAGAAATAGGCCGTGCTACATTGTGCAACATGCCAGCATCCAAGGGCCTTTCAATGATTATGGTTAAATTTCGTAATTTTGATGGGTACAGAATTACAAAGTGTTAGTTTTAAAGTATTTTCTTAAAAAATCATTTGAATGCCTTCCTTTCATCATGTTTTTCAAATGAAGCTGGTTGGTTAATGGTTGATGAGAAGACATGTGAGTTGAAATTTGTGAAACCCTTTGAAGTAGAATGAAACTAACTTTTAAACATCGAGGTGTCTTCTGGTATGATAGTTGGAGTTTATGCCGAAACTCCAAAGTTATGGATGACCTCCTGGGTTACACCAAGGGGGGGATAAAATCGTGAGACCATTAGGCCAAAACTGACTATCTTGATTGATGAGAGTTTGGGCTGTTACAAATGGTATAAGATAATTACACCAATCTGAAGATGAAAACTAAGTGCTATACAAAACAAACTGTTACATGGGAGCCACCTCTTGCACTTCAGATGGGACAAAGTGTTACATGGTGGGAACCATCTTTTGAATTTTTAGGGGCCATCTTAAGAATTCTATATGCCTGATTGATAATTTTGGGTTAGGAAAACTATTGAGAACCTCGGTTACTTAAGTGAGGCAGATCATGAAACCCTTTAAGTAGAATATAGCTAAGTTTTTAAACATTGAGATGCCTTTTAGTGTAATGTTTGGAGTTTCGACAGAAACTCTAAAGTTAAACATGCTTGTGTTGAAGCTTGTTACGTCTATACGTGATCCGGTTTAGAAGGGACAGGTCTAGCACTTCCAATCGACCATGTGGGCCGGTCGCTTCCGCGAGATGGATCCGAGTCGCTTCCGCGAGGAGCTGAGCGTGAGCTGCTGGATGCTGCGACCGAAAAAGGCAGGGAGCAAAGAGGGTCCCCGAGGGTCTGAATCACCTATTCATGGAGGAGAAATTAAATGAGTTTGGAGGGAAGGTTTGGAAGGAAAGTTTTTGAAATGTAGTGAGAGGATTCTATTAAAAGGAATAACCTAGGATTTGCTTCTTTATGCATGTATTTGGTGGCTATTGTGTTTTTTCTTTTGGTGGTGTTCCTAACAACATCTAGGGTTGTGGGAGAGCCCATCTACCTCTCGAAAAGTAGATCATTGTTGTCTCTTTCTTATTTGCATTTGTTTTTGATAAGAGCAACCCTCACTTGAGTTTTTCCATCTCTTTCTTGCCACTTCATTGTGGTTTGCTTGCTGATTTTGGTGCGGGGCTTATCAAATTGGTATTAGAGCATAGATCTTTTTGGGGTGACAACAAAGAAAGTGGATGTGCTAGAAGAAGAGGTGGGGTAAATCAGATCGGGAATGGAAGAGTGGCTCGTCACCATGGAGGATAGGTTTTCTTCCATTGAAAGTCGAATGGAGGATGAATTTGAGAGCATAGGAGAAATGCGAGAGATGATGAAAAAGCTCATGGAGATGCAAGCCAAGGCTGTGCTGACCACTCCAATTACAAATTCTAACCCAAGATTGATTAGGGAATCCTTGGATAGGTCAAAAGGTAAGCAGATCAAGCGAGAAAACGAAGAATACCTCATCTACCTTCAAGAGCACGCCCCTAGGACTTCGAGAAGATGAGGAGTGGATACTTTTGATCGAGGGGGACGTGCCGAAAATTAGCTGGATGGTGTAAGTAGCACGGAAGAAGGATGGAGAAATGAGGGATTCACGAGTGGGATATGCCTATGACTGAATGAGAGAGCTCCACCCTACACACATGGGTGGAAATACCAGAGGAAGACAAGGTTGGGGTGGAAATGCAAGGGTCAGGAAATTGAAGATGCCAATATTCGAAGGGGAGGATGCACATGGATGAGTGTATCAGGTGGAGCGATACTTTGTGATCAACGGGTTTGTTTGAGGAAGAGAAGCTCATGACAACGGAATTATGCTTGGAGGGGAAGGCTTTAGCGTGGTTCCAGTGGACGGAGACAAGGCATCCAATGCACTTATGGGAGGAGTTTAAGGATTACCTGTTGGAGTGTTTCCAAGCCATTTGGGAAGGAGACCTACACTATGCTCTGACTCAGAAGGGGACGGTTATGGAATACCGAGAGGAGTTCAAGTTCTTATCAGGGGGGTTGAAGGGGATTTCTGCAGCAGGACTGAAAGAGAACTTCTTAAAAGGCCTAAATCCTGACAATGTTCTCACACGTTTCAGTTAACACTACCTTAGCTACTGCTTTTCCTTGGTATTTGAAAGCCTTATATATTTATTCATATATAAATTAATTTTCTCCATTTTTTTATGTGATGTCCAAGGCTAGCCTGAGCACCCTTTTTTGCATACGGAAGTCTGAGTTAGAGAGTGAGGGTGGATTGCTCTCCTCTTAGTTGGTGTCAGGGTGTATATGATTGTATTATTGCGGGCTTACACTCGGAGATAGTTACTTTCAGCGGCTTATAAGATTTATAGAACAAGTATCATTAAATCTTATATGAAATACAATATCTACAGTTCACACTTTTTTTATTTATTTTAGGTTAATTTTCTAACATTATATTTCCAATGATAGAAATTGGTTTTTCCTTGTTTATTTCTTGAATCCTTAAATGGAAATTGCTGAAACTTAATTGCCTCGATTACTATGTCTAGCATTCTTTATTTAGTTTTTATTAACTAAGTCTGCAAAGGATTACTTCACCATAAAAAATATATATAGTGAAGAAATTTTGGCATCTGAATTTACTTGAGCTGCAAAATTATTTCTTTTTTTTTGGGTGGAATTTTAAATTATTTTAATGAACGATATCTATGTTCAAAACTTTTTGTTTTGTCAACTCGGTATTTGTTTTCTAATTTGAAGGGCATTGCTACATTAGGAGTTTCAAATTTGGTTTTCATTCATAAAAAAATCTTAAATTTTTTAAAAATAAATAAAAAGCATATTTAGAGCTTTAGAGGGTGAAATGACTGTACTTTTGGAGGATTTTCTAACTTGGTAAGTAAACAATATAAGAAAGGCTTTTAACCTTAGTAAATTTCTAGTGATTTAGTTTCATTTTAAGAGAAAATAGTATATATGTATTATTATTGAGCATCTCCTATGTCTTGTAATCTTGTATTAAAGTGCTATATTTATTTTATTTATTTATGTATAAGGACTATGTAAATACTATTATTATTTTCTTCTTCACAATAAATTATGCCAAGAATATTGTCTAATTGTTTCTTAATTAAGTCATTCTTAAATATTCCATATTTTACAATTGTTGTTTCATTTATTTGTTGAAAATTATTACTTTATATAATTTAAGTTTGATTAAATGCCTATTTATACACATAATAATATACATGATATTTAAGTTGTCAGCACTTGTTATTGCACTGTGTGCATTGAAGCAAAAATGAATCTTTATAATTCACATCACACTTTGAAAACATTGATATTATTTGATCAACAACAATAACAACAACAAGCCTATTGAGTGTCATATTTTCATTTAATTCTAATAAATTAAGATCATTTTTTATACAACATGCCCCTCTGCCTTTCTTAACGTAAGTCAAATTTATTACATCTATCTTCTAATTAAATCAGCAGATGGTCGACGTTTAATGTGACCAAACAATCTATGTGACCAAACACTAAGACGACTCTTTCTAATTTTGTCTGCCATTGGAGCTACACTAACCCTATCACGGGTATATTCATTTCGCATTTTGTTTGTAAGTGTAAAGCCACTCATCCTCCTAAGCATTTTCATCTCGGCAAGACATAACTTAGTTTTATTCTTCTCTTTTAAATGTCATAAAATATTGCGAGTCTCACTACCATTTTATAAAATTTTCCTTTCAGTCTAGACAGTACTTTTCCATTGCACAATAAGCCTGAAACATTCCTCCCCTTCAACCAACGAACTTGAATTCTATAATAACATTTCATCTATATCACCATCACTTTGAACAATAGAACCGAGATATCTAAATCATTCACATCTTTTAATGATTTGATCACTCATAGTCATAACTCTGTCACTGGAGTCACTACTACTAAAATTACATTAGATGTATTCAATTTTAGTTAAACTCAAATGAAGGCCTTTAGACCTTTGTTTAGACCCCATAATTCAAATTTTTCCTGAGCTCTTTCTCTAGTCTTATCCACTAGAAGGATATCATCAGCGAAAAAATACACCAAGGTGCATCCTCTTGTAAATGTCCGGTTGTAAATGTCCGGTAAGATCATCTATAACTAAAGCAAAAAGATATGGGCTTAAAGTCGGTCACTGCTGAAATCCAACTGAAATAAGAAAATATTTGGTCAATCCTTCTATTCGAACACAAGTAACAACTATAGTATACATTTCTTTAATGACTTGAATATAAGTCACATGAACACCTTTCTTCTCTAGAACTCTCCAAAGGATATCTTTTGGAACCTTATCTTAAGCTTTTTCTAAATCAGTAAAAATCGTATGTAGATCCACCTTGTTTTCTCTGCACTTCTCCATCAAACCTCTCAATAAATGTATAACTTTCATAATGGACCTGCCCGACATATATCCAAACTGATTATGAGAAATCTTTGTAATTTGTTTTAAACTATGCTTTGTTACCCTCTCCAATAATTTTAAAGTATGACACATCAACTTAATTTCTCTTTAATTTGCACACTTGTGCACATTTTTTATTCTTAAAAATGGGGACCAAAATACACTTCTTCACTTATCAGATATCTTTTTAGTTTTTAAAAAAAATATTAAAGAGTTTAGTAAGCCAGGAAACTCCCAAATTTCCTTAATATTTCCACACTTCAATTGGGATGTCATCAGGTCTTTCAGACATTCCACTCTTGATTTTCTTTAAAGCCTCTTCAACTTTTTTTTAACTAATGCAACGGTAATAATGAAACATTTTATTATTATTAACGGTATTAAGGTCACTAAGGTAGATCGTATTTTCTAAAACTTCATTGGAAATTTTATCAAAATAACTCACCCCCCTATGTTAAATATTTTTTTCTAAAAAAAATACACTTTGATTTTTTCGTCTTTAATACACTTAAGTTGCAACTTCACTTTTCTTCTTTTTTTATCTAGTTTATATATATATATATATATATATATATATATAACCATATTTTGTATCTAATCTATTATAAAAATCACTAAATATAGAATTTTTAGGGTCACAGATTGTTCTCTTAGACCCCCAACGGGTCATTTTTTATTTTTCTCAGTTTTCTATGCTTTTACATTTAAACCAATTTTTATAACATAATTTTTTATATTTTATTTTTTCTTGCACATTTTTATTATTCCACCACCAACTATTTTTATTTATAAACACTTTTTCTTTTGATTCTCACAGTACATCTTTTGTCACTTGTTTATTACTTCATTCCATATCGAATTTGCTTCTTCATGAACATCCCAAATTTTGAAATCTTGAAGTTTACTCGTAAAAATAATTTTATTTGTGACTTTTATATGCTCCCATCTAATTCTATGATAATGATTCTTATTATTCTTTATTTTACAACTCTTCATCTTAATATCCAGAACTAATAATCAATGTTGAGTATTTAAATTCTCACTTGTAATAACCTTACAATCTTTACATTCTCGACGATCTCTTTTTCTCATATAAGAATAATCAATTTGTGTTTTATTAGATCCATTTTTATAAGTAATAATATGCTCATTTCTTTTCTTGAATAAAGTATTAGCAATAACAAAATTATACGCCAAAGAAAAATCTAATATGACTATCTTTTTCATTAATCACTCCCACACCGTAGCCACCATGAATATTTCTAAAATTTTCTACCACTCTACCGACATTTCGATTTAAATCTCTTCCAATAAAAATTCTTTTTTCAAGATGTATCATTTGTATTAATTATTCTAGGTCATTCCAAAATTTTTCTTTAGAACCTATGTTTAAACATACTTGAGAAGCATAAACACTTATAATATTAAAAATTTTAGTATCAACAATAATCTTAAGGGCAATACTTCTATCTCAAATTCCATTAATTTTTAAAACTTTATCTTTCAAAGTCTTATTTATAATTACGCCCATCATTTCTCTTGCAACTCATACCTGAATTCTAATGTTTAAAACTTGAACTATCAATTTTTTTAGCTTTTTCTTCATCCATTTAGTTTCTTGAATACATAAGATATTAATCTTTTTATGAACCATAATATCAACTAATTCCATTAATTAACTGGTGAGAATGCCTATATTCCGAGATCTTATCTTAATTTTAATTTCTTGGACCAATTTTTTACCCGCATCCGTCCGTAATATTGGGACTTTGCTTATTTGACACCACACTCGGGCGCTGGTGTAGCGGTTTTTGTACACTTTTCACTGTCTTTATGCTATACATCACATCACTTCTAGGCAATGACCTAGTATTTACATATTGATCAAAAGAATTCATGTTATGTTTTTCCGATAAATTTTATGTTACTGTTGACTATTTAAAGTAACCCTCCACTTTTCACATTCGGAGCTTGGGACCCGGCAATGACTGTTCAATGCTATGATTTGATCAAATTGATCATAAAAAAAAACATAATCTCACGTTTGCTTCTAATCAGGATTTCATATTCTTATTTTACCAATTTTTTTTTACAAATTTCAGAATAATTTCAAAATTATAGGAAATCACCCAATTTCTACCCCTTTGTAGATGAGGGATTAATTTTGATATTTGTGAGTTTAATCAAATTGCATTGCATTTTGGTTTATACCATCTTGCTAGAATTACTCTCACGCTATCAATGTAGTCAACTTAGAAGAAATAAATATTTTAACCCACTTTTTTGAACGAATTACCATCGTGCGGTTGTTTCAATAAGCAAGCGTAAAAGATGCCATATTCAGAAAGCTTTCATGATTTATGAGTTCTGGATAACAATCTTTGTTCTTAATGATGAAATGAATGCTTCAATCCAACCTGACTCAAGCTAAAAATATATTTATTTTGGAGTAAGTGCCAAAGTAGTCCCTTAACTATTTTGATGGGACCATCTTAGCCATAAACTTTATAGACGTACTAAATTAGTCCCCAGGTTGTTTTAATAGTGGTTAAAATAATTCTCATTGTGAACTATTTCAACCAATATTAAAAAAAATCTGCTGACTACTTTGACACATTTACAAATTTTGGTACTAAAATGACCCTTCTGTAAAAAGTCATGGGATTATTTTAGCACTTCTCTCATTTATTTGGGTTCGGTGCTTAATTAGATTGAGTGAATGTTAGTCTCTTATTTTGGAAGGGAGATGATTTAAGAGAATTTTTTGGTGGGCTGCTCAACTTTCTGTTTTGGTAATCTGATCGTTTTCTATTTTGTCGAAATTCTCGTCTATAGGATCCTGACACCAAAAAACCTCGGGTGAAGATATATATGGACAGAGAAACTGGAAAAGTTAAAGGGGATGCACTTGTTACATACATGAAGGTATTAGTCATAAATTTACTTTCTTCTACATCGAACCAATTGTAAGATGAACGTTATGGAAACCAAATTGCTTTTTACACAAGAATTTCTACAATAATAATAATAATAAATTCTATGTACAAGGAACCTTCTGTTGCATTAGCAACCCAAATTTTGGATGGTGTACCTTTGCGTTCTGATGGGAAGATCCCTATGTCAGTAACACAGGCCAAGTTTGAACAAAAAGGTGATTTCTACAAGCAGCTACGTATTTTATGTATATTTATATTGGAATTTTATATTCAGGGCCCTTCAACTTTTTTTTTATTTATTTACAGGAGAGAAATTTATTACAAAACAAATCGATAAGAACAAAAAAAAGAAACTCAAGAAGGTTGAAGAGAAGATGCTTGGGTGGGGTAAGTATTGATTTTGTATATCCGAGTAAAAAACCAAGGATGAATTTACATTCTGCTTGTGGGCAATAGAGTTCTGCTACTTGATTGTCCACTTTTTCTGGAAGACTATATTATTTGTTTGGCATTCATTGTAAATTTAAGGATTTGAAATGAAAAAATTCGGCTTTGTGTATGTTTGACCCATTCACCCATTTTTGGCTCTTACATATTTGAAAACCTAATAACTCGAAAGCTGGTTTGATACTATTTTAAATTAAATTTTGTTTAGGAATCTGCAATAGCAACATTCCCATATTACAAATGATAGGGGCATTTACATACATACCACCCAATTCTTACATATTTACATATCTAAGGTCTAAACTTTGATTTTGTACTTTTATACCACACAAATCTTTTGTCACATAAAAATACCACTATTTTTAACTTTTAAAAGTGAAATACACCTTTTCATGCATATGTAAGGTGGCATATAGGTAAAAAATTGAAGTTTAGGTGTTAGATATGTGAATACATAATAATTGAGCTGTATGTATATAAATCTTCTTATCAAAGATGATAATGCAAGTTTTCAACTTTAAGCTCAGAGTTACCTCTGTAATATCAAGCAATCATTCATGTTTCATTATTCTCTTTTGAAGTGTTAAATTAGTAACGTAGAAGCAATTATATTTTTGATTTCTTGCTATTTGTGCTGGTGTTGTCTTGCAAAATCTCGTTTCGTAGCCTAATATTACTGATGTAAATGCACGAAGGTGGCCGTGATGATGCAAAACTCTTGATCCCTGCTACTGTTATCCTATGGAATATGTTCACTCCTGCTGTGCTGAATTAAGGGTAAGCCATGAGATTTCCTGCCAAGTTAATGTGGATTGTTTACCGCCTATTAACCATCTTGACATCGTTGAGCCATTTTTGCTCATGACTTTGTTAATTCGTACAAGGATGACGAGACTCTTCTTCAAGAGCTTGAAGCAGATGTCCGAGAAGAATGTGTAAATCTTGGTCCTGTCGACTCCGTTAAGGTAAGACGAGTCCCACTATTTTCGTTGACCTTGTTGATTATGGTTTAGTTAATCATCTATATTGCATTATATATGTCGGTTTTCCTACGGTAAAGGTTTGCCCATAATTACTTAATTTTTCTGGTGTGCTGGTATTTGCTTTCATTCCCTGACTAAAGAGGATTTATAGTTAGGGGCATTTACATACATAGCTCACAATGTTTTATGTATTTACATATCTCACAACTAAACTTTCATATTTACACACAGCACTTTTGCACTTTAAACGAAGCCCCAAAATGTTGGCCACTTAATGTCATATTCTAATCAACATAGGCCTGCATTATCCTGCCATATCCATAAAATATTATGGTCAGGCTATTAATTTCTTCCTAAAATTTTATGTGAAGTTCCAAGTCAAAATTTTAATATGTTTATATATCTATTAAATAGATATATAATTATTCACAGAAGCACATCCATCTTCTGATATTAGCAATCCTTGGGTTTCCTTAAAAGTTAATACTCAGTGATTCTTGTTGGGATGTGCCTTTCTTGCCATGTGAAAATACCCATAATCATATCTCCAAAGCAAATTCCAATCATAAACAAATCCATTAACAAATTAATTTTACCAAATTATGTGTATATTCTTCATATTCAACAAGTCATCTGTAATAATTTAACATTTAAGGATAAAATTGATTGCATCAGAGCAAAGGTACTTGTATAAGTTTTATTCTTTAAGCAGGCATACTCAATTTTCTTGTTAAATAAGGCCATAATAGATATTGGGTTTTGATGAATTCTTTAGGAATGAGTAGCATTTTCTCTTGATTTAATAGCTCCTTGCTACATTTAGCAAGGAATAATGTACTGTTACAATTTCTTAGGTTCTCTTCATTCTAAAATACATGCTAGGGGCATTTACATAAATACCACCCAATTCCTATGTATTTACACATCTAAAACCTAAACTTTACCTTTTTTACATTTATACAATCCAAAATTTTCGTATCACATCAGAGATACTATCATTTTAACTTTAAAAGAGTGATATACACCTTTTCATGCATAGGTAAGATGACACTTACGTAAAAAAATTGAAGTTTAGGTATTAGATATGTAAATGCATAAGAATTGAGTGGTAGGTATGTAAATCTTCCTACATGTTATGTGCAGGTCTGTGAGAATCATCCACAAGGTGTTATCTTGGTCAGATTCAAGGATCGGAACAACGCCGTAAGATGCATCGAGCTAATGAATGGAAGATGGTGCCTTTCTGAACTTCTAAATTTGTTTTAATTTCTCAATATTTCAAAATTCTCTGCATGTTCATACTTTTCCATGCAGTTGGAATCTTGTGAGAAGTTTTATTTATGCTTTGATATCATTTACTAGGCTTTTAGTTTTATATTGAGGTTTTTACATACCAATCACCCCAAACATTGAATATAACATTTTAACCGCACAAATTTTGAAATAGAACATTTTAATGACTTTTTTTATTCCAACCACCTTTCCTTGCCCACTAGTGAAGGTTTTGATTGCTTTCTTGAAATAAAAAACAAATGTTTTTGGTATGATTTTGTAATTTTATAGGTTTGGAGGAAAGCAAATCCGTGCGAGCGAAGACGATGGTACGGTTAATCATTCTCGTATTCGTGATTACGATGCTGATGCTGAGAGATTGGAGAAATTTGTTTCAGAACTTGAGGCTGCTGATGAATGAATATTGTCAAACTGATTCAATGAAGGTTAATGTTATCATTTCATACAATTTCTCTCATAAGATAGATTGAAGATCTTAGCTTAACTAGCTGGTAGGGTTAGAAGAGTCTTTTTGCAGCGCAGGGAGAAGGCAACATATAACTTAAGAAGCAATTGGAGCCTTTGCTACTTATTTTAGGTGTTTCATTGCTGTAAAGTTTAATGAGATTATTGTTTTTTAAGTTGATGTGTGTATGTTAATGTTAGATTTTTATGTGATCTTAATATTATTTTTTATATAAATGAGACACTATAAGGGTGCATTTACATGCATACCAACAATTCTTATATATTTACATATCTAACAATTAAACATTAATATTTACATGCTCAGCATTCAAGTCTGTAACATCACATAAAGAATACCGTTATAAATGTTATTATAAATATGAAATATGTAAATGCATAGAATTTTGTGATATTTATGTAAAATTCCCGATAAAAAATGTATGAGAATGAAGTTAGGGCTCCTCAATGCTCCCAACCAAACACTTTTCTGTAATCTATACAGGCCTTCAGCGGTTAAATAGATATAGTTAATACTGATTTAGGACTCGTTTGGGGCTACTTATTTGATGCGGTGGAGTTTTGAAAACACACATGACATGTTTGGGTGAACTTCGTTTTGAAAATGTTGAAAATAACGTTTTTACACCGCACCTAGATACCTAGTGCGGTGGCAGTTTTCTGGCAGCCGCCTGATTTAATCACAACACCTAGCTTATCATTAGGTTATTTTTAATCAGCTTATGAACAAATTATTCAATAAGTTGCAACTGTCCCAAACAAACCCTTAATTGTTATATGTGAAGTGTATTTGTTGTGAATTAAATTAAAAGGCGCTTTTTTGATTGAGAATTGATGGTGTGAATCAATTTAATTGAAAAAAAGTTGTATGAAATATCTATTGTAAATTACAGTGTTATAAATATTCAAAAGATTACTATTTTTAACTTAAAGAGGCTTTTGTACGTTTAAAGGCCTGCTTAAACGTGATTGACGCGTGCATATATTTAAAATTAGTTCAATATCTTAGAAAGATGATGTCAAATTAAAATATTTATTGTGGCAGATGTTCATGAGCTGGGTCTTGATGTGGCCTGTGTGAGCTGCAAATTTTGTGATCTATGTTAGCTTTTTGCAAAATTCAATCAAGGGCCTGTTTAGGGCAGTTGATTAGCTGTGGTGCAAAGTGAGCCACGGGTTTTATTCGGTCAGCATTTTTTCTCGATTTTATTACTTGGCTGCATTTGCCCTTCTTTCCTCGGAAAAAAAAAATTGCGTACGTCTGTACGTAAGACGTACGCAGTGTTGCGTACGTCAGGGTTATACAGAGGGTACATGACAGTTATATCCTTTATAATCTCCCTGTAATCTACTTGTACCTTCTATTAAGTTTCACAATTCTGTTTTCATATATTTTTAGGTTGCAGGTAGGTTATGAGGAGATTAAAGAAGGTATAACGCAGATATAACTCTTCTATACCCTTTGTATATCCCCGACGTACACTTCCCCGCTTTCCTCTCTTGCATCTTTGCCCTACGTATCTCTCCTCTCCGATCTCCAGCTCCAGTGATATAATTTTTTACAAATGTTCAAGGAATAGAACAAAGAATTGACTTCTTCAAATGAGAATCAATTAGATAATTCCACCGCCAAGTGATCGAACATGAAGACTTTCATTGAAAAATATAATTATCTCGTAAAATTGATCGCCTATACTTCAAATTAACATCATAATAAAATTAATTTTTTTAATTATTTTATTTTTATTTTGATTGTTGTTACTGTTTAATAAGATGTTAGATTTTATCATATATTATTTGAACTGAGTTTCTATTTTTATATATACGAAATGTGCAACCGGGACTAATTTTATTATAAACAACAAAGTAATACAAAGTTAACTTTTTATTACTTTAGCATTATGAAAAAGAATAACATAATGCTAAAGAATGGGAATGATAAATCTAAAAGTTCGCATGCATTACCAGTCTAAAAAAAAATCAAAATACAACTATAATTAGTTTAGCACCATAACAACATAAATACTCCGAGCAAAAATTTCTACCCACAAATGAACATTCCTGGAGACTCAATTACTCACCAAATCAGCATTTCTTCCAAAATTTTTCTGTTTTTTTTATAATTTTTTTTAACAAAATCACCCCTTTTTGTCAAGGAAGAATAAATAAGAGCCTTAACTAACCTCAATAGAAATCCAACACACCATCCACTGTAAGAGGTGGATCAATTTCTATCCTCTTTGCTTTGCCTTCAGAATGTAATTGTGGTAACATATTTGCATCCTTAGCTGAAGCTCCTGCTGCAGTCCAGATTGTAGTGTGGGGCCATTCATTTTTAGAGCTTATCTTTTCACCTTCGATGGATCCTATTCGTGCTTCAAAAGCAGCCAAATTATCAGAAAATAGCAATGCGACGAACTCGACTGGGACTTTCTTATGGTGGTGAACACCATAACTAGCAACGGCTGTCACCCCATGACTCCTTTTGTGAGCCAGGGTTACATGAGCCTTGGTTAGACTTTTCTCCAATTCTTTGCCTTTAAGGAATGCTTGAACTTCAGATTCTTTATTGGCCAACTGAAAATATTTGTTTTTATGAATTAACATTACATTAATACAACATATGATAATGCTATAATGAAAAAATATTTGTAGTAAAGAGACAAAAAATTGAGCCAACAGATACAAATTGTGTGGAAGTGTCAAAATAGTCAACTAACTGTTTACATGAGGTCATTTTAGCCCCAAAATCTATAAACATATTAAAATAATCCCCAAACTTTATAAAAAAGACAGGATGAAATGGGCATTTTATATTGATATACAGTATATGTGGAATGGTGTGAAAATTATGCTAATAAGTATTGTTATACCTTCTCCAATAGACTTCTGATCTCAAGCACGGGGAGTGTGACAGCTGCAAAAACAAGGTTGCCGAATCTCCTCTTTTCAGATTCTGGAGTTCTAATTCCACCTTTTACGACATCTTTGAGTTGTTCTGTGACTTGCTTGACGGCCAAGTCAAATGGAATCTGGAAGATTAAAATGAAAAATTAGTTTAAGCATCACAAACTCAGAATATTCAGCAAAGCTCAAAAATATTAAGATGGCGAAAGACATGGATTTTGGATGTGTTTGGCTGATTTTACATTTTATGTATGTGAATTCAACTTCTTATTATACTTTTCTATTGCCGAATACTCTGTTAATAAATTTTACTAACCGTATGTGCATGAATTAATGCAAAAACAAATGATGTTCAGTAATTTTGTATGGAGTAATTATAATCGCCTTGCAAGCAAATTTCTGCGCGCGCGCGCACACACATGCAGACAGACACGACAATTCAAAGATAACATAATGCCGCAGCCCAGCTATAAAAGTGTCAAATAGTCCTCTGATTGTTTACATGAGGTCAAAATAATCTTCTGACTGAAAGCAAATTTTGAATCATCAGGAGACAATTTATATACAACATAACGCCCATATATCATCTAACCATTCCTGCATTTTCCTCAGATTTCCGCCAATGCATTGACAGCACAAATTGTTCTACAAAAGAAATTTCAAGAATACAAAACACAACTATTTTTTATAGTTGAAAGGTCCACCTAATAAGGCTAATATTTTTTTTACCAAATAGAAGAAGGTGAGGGGCATCTAGGATAAATGACACTGATCTAGGGTTTCTAGATAGTGTTTAAGGATCTAGAAAAGGGGTCATGAAATTTTTGGATAATAATAAAAAAGAAAAATTTGAGAGAAGAATAAAATTTGAGTAGAAAACAAGGTTACAGCTGCTGTTTTGAGAAAAAAACAGTACGGAAAAGAAGCCGGTTCTATGTAGGACGGATAAGAATGACAACGGGGATCAACAAACAACTCCGGATCAAGCTGCATACACACCACCTGAAGAAGGAAGAGACTACAACACGCCAAAGAGCAGAAAATAAGATAAAACAATCTCCGATATTATTAAAAAAAAAAACCCAAAAGTCTAAATCAGCTTCTATAAATCCCAAACAAATTAACCTTAATATTTCTAATTAAGGTAAGGAAAGCCACCCTTGGGGACGGAACTCCCAAACCAAACTCGAGACATAACTGGGCAGGCCGGTTCTTCTCAAATCCATCTGGGATGGATACAGATGATGCCCGCATCAATGGAAATCATTAATAAGAATGTGACCACCATTTTGCAAAAAATTAAGGAAATGAAACTTGGAAGAGAATTAATTGAAATAAAATTACTGACTAAAGAAAGGTATAATATGCAGCACAATAATTATTGCCAGATTACACAAATCTCACTACAAACTAAGAGATTAAGGTTCCTAATCATTACCCTACCTGGATAAAGTTGAGATAATCGGCATTTCTGAACAAAACCTCTCGCAGACGCTTTTCCCATTGCACCCATTCCTTTGCATATGAGCCTTTGCCCGGTTCCGCCCTATGCCAAGTTGTTTAGTTGAATATTAGAAATAATCTTGTGTCAAAAACAAAGACAAACTGCCTCGCCTTTTGACTTGTTAAAATAAATAAATAAATAAATAAATAATGTGCAATAAAAATAGTAACTTCAACAATTAGGTTGACATACTTCAAAGGGAGTGGGATTCTATTCAACAACTGTATTCATCTAAATCTTTTGGGCTAAACACTGCATTCAGAATAATTATATGAAATAAGCATCCAGCACATCAAAGATCACTAAAATAAGGAATGAGTGATGCCTTATCTAAGAAAAATGCAATAAATGATGATTAATTGTAGCCTTTTCGTTTTTCCTTATCGGAATACTGTTCACCCTCTATTTCACAAACTAAAGAAATTTTGTAGTCTTTTTTTTAAATTAAGGGACATTTTCATACATAACACACAGTTCTTATGTATTTCCATTCCTCACACCTAAGCTTTCATATTTACACATGTAGCACTCAAATCTTCAATATCAAAGAAAAAATAGCACTATTACTACTTTTATAAAGTGAAATCCACGTTCTTATATAAATATGAAAGTTCGGGCATGAATTATATAAATGCATAAGAATTTTGTGCTAAGTATGTAAATTTCCCTTTAATTAAATAATTTGAAATTGACAAGCTGAGCTCTTCTCTTCTCGAGTCATTTATGAGAAGTCAAAAAGCAGATGGCAAGGAGAATCCAACACAAAGACAGCAGATAAGTATAACCACACCTACAACGGTTAGAAAGACCAGTGTAGAAGTACCAGACCAAGAAAAAACTACCAATTTTCCACCCAAAAATTGGAAGAGACAGGAATGAGAAAAGAAGAAAAAAAGAAAAGTGGGCTCAAACTTAACCCTTTTGCAGTCCATCTAGTACAATCAATAATTCTTAGGGGAGTTATGAAAGCAATTAATTGATACTTAAAGCTAGGGCCAGTAACAATCATATCTGGAGTCAACCTTAGATGAACAGTAGATCGAAGCTTTCTTGATCCAACCCATAACTGATCAAAAGTTGGCTAAAGTAAGGGCTTGATCCAATCTCGATTATAGCTAAAATTAATTCATTGACATTGAAATCAACTTGATTTCAAACAAAGAATTCTTCAAGGTACATAATATTTCATTAATGTCGCATGCATACAGGAAAACCAATCATAGCGTATCCAAGACACATTCATACTAGATGGTCATGCGAATGTGCACTGTTAAGCAATCATAATTGAAATAATAAACTTCAAGAAACTTTACTTGCAATGTACAGCTGGCGTTCCTTCTCATCTTGATGTAACAAACTTCAGTTGCCACTGCTGTTCTTTACAGTAGTCTCTCTATATAAGGGGTCCTATATAGCATCTGAATTGTATCTGAATTTCTTTATTTCCTAATTTCTTCTTGTCCTTCTCTATCTGTTCTTGCTGTAGCTATGAGTACCATTGAAATCTTTACTGACATCAGAGCCTAAGCCCACTGGCATCTCAACTACATAATGAGTTCTCATTCTATCTTTTCTGCCACTGTAGCAAAGCCCACTGCAACCTCTACCGCAATGCCATGTGATAATCCCATCCCAACCCAATTAAAATTCCTCATGGAAAATATCAAAGGTATCATCTCAACTCCTCTTACTGCTGAAAATCATCCAGTTGGAAGGCTCAAGTTGTGATGCTGTTTTGTGCCAATAGGTGTGAGAAATTCCTCAATGGAATCTGCAGCAAACAGAGTTCATCCATTCTTCTTGATTCCAAGGAGATTGAAATACCAAACCCATATTATACAAAATGGATAATTATAGACCAAAATTTGGCAGCTGTATTGTATTCAATCATCTCTTACCCTCTTCTTCCCTAGATCCTCAATCTTAAAACGTGTTCTGAAATCTGGATAACAGTGGAACGCAGACTCTAATCTACTGATAGATCACACATTATTCAACTCAAGAGTAAGCTGCATACTATATCCATGAAAAAAAAAAAACTATGACGTAATACCTATCCGAAATAAAATACAAAGTTGACACCCTAACTGCTGCAGGCGCATCCCTGAATCCTGCAGACATAATCCAACATAATCCTATATACGCTCAACGGTCTTCCTTCAATTTACCACACATTCAAGGCATCTATTAGAACCAATCTTCGAACCACAGGTTTTTATGATCTTTACACACTACTATGCAATGAGGAACTCAATTTGACAAAAGAAGCTTCCAAAGAAATGCGACAATCTGCTCATATCGCCCTTGCTGCAACCAGGGGATTTGGCAGATACAAAACTTCAATCCCAATTCCAATCAGAATCAAGAATCTTCAGGTCCACACTCTAATAGCAACAAACGTAACTCTCAAAATCTTAAACACTCGTTTGTCAGACATGCAATAAATCAGGGCATTCTGCATTTAAATGCTGGCATAGTCATGATAAGAATTGCCAGTCACATACTGCTTTGGTCACTGAATCAACAGGTAGTACCAACAACAATTGATTTGGACAGTGGTACAACAGAGCATCTATCATTGATCCTAATCAAATTACCAACACTCAAGATTACAGGGGTAATAGTTCTATTACCATGGGAAAATTCATCAACTTCCCGTTGCTCATGCTGGGCAATGCTTGCTACCCACACCTACGTGTAAGCTTCTCCTTCCAAATATTCATCATATTCCCAATCTTTCCTATATTTGCTCTCAGTTCATAAACTTACATTTTTAACGGCTAAAGGTTATACTCTCAAGAATATGGAGACCAACATGCTTGAAGGAGTGTGCAGCGACTACCCAATACAGTACAATAACACTTATACAACTACACTGAGCTCCCTAGCACTCATAACCATCCAACAGGTTCCAAATCTTTGGTATAGAAGACTCGGTCACCCATCCCACAAGGTGCAAAAGCACCTGACAAAATGTATTGCTTCACTAAGTTGCTCTAACAATAGATATCAATGCACTTCTTGTAGTCTCACAAAGAGTGGTAAGCTACCCTTTATCACACCTACTTCACATGCCTCTCATCCCTTAGATATCATACACTCTGATGTATGAAGACCTTCCCATATTCCATCTACACAGTAATATAAATACTACGTCTTGGTGGACGACTACTCTCATTTCTCATGGGTGAATCTTCTTTGAAATAAAAATAAAATAATTGAGAAATTGAAATAATTAAAAAAATCTGGTGGCAAATCAATTCAATACTCATAAAAATTCTCCGCACAGATGGAAAAGTGAGTATCTCAATACACATTTACTACGCCACTCAAACAACAGGGCATTCAAAATCAAAACATCTGCCTTTATATAATAGAATGGTTTGGCAGAAATGAAACACAAACATTTAAGGAAACAGTTCACGCTCTGCTAATTGAGGTCTTTTTACCTCTACACTTATGGACAGACATCTTTCTTACTGCACGTTACTTGATCAATAAGTTACCGTCAAAAGTAATCCACTAAGTCTCCTATGGGGCCTTGCATGGCAAACTACCCCCATATAATCACATCTAAATATTCGGTTGTCAATGCTTTTCTTGGCTCAAGTCTTATTCCAAACATAAATTATTTCCTCTCTAAAAATTGTGTTTCTTGGATCTGTATCTTCCCGAAAGGATACAAATGTCAAGATCCTCAAACCAACACAATTTATATATCCAAATATGTCATGTTCAATGAGGCTGTTTTTTCTTATCAAAAGACATTAATCTCCAAAAACCATATTATAGTACACACACCACCTACTACCACTCTTACTGGTTCCTACCTCTTCTTTGCAAGCTGCAACCCAGTAAACATACCTACAACAACTAAACTTCACTCCCAACTCAACAAATTCTTTTATTTTCTGCTACCATAGTGATACCTCGCAAAATCTACATTCTAATATATGATGATGACATCTTACTAACAAGGAATGATCTGAAAACCATCAATAACATTCTGCACAAACTTACAGCATCAGTGAAAAATGAAAAATCTGGGGACAACACAATTTCTGGGCATTTCAGCAACTCTAGATAAACACGTATTACATATAAATCAAACATCGATGCTCAACATATTCTTACAAATTCAAGAATGCTAAATTCCAAGCCTGTTAAAAACACTACTTCTCAACGAAAAACCCCAATAGACAGATTAAAATCACTTCATGGATCCTTCATTTTATCACAAAGTCATTGGATAAATACAATAGCTTACTCATATAAGAACAAACATATCCTATGCAGTTGATTTTAATCAAGCGGGTCATTCAATGCACCGACCATCTCAGTATAAATTCCAACAAGTTAAACATATTTTAAGGTACATTGAAGGCACCAAAAATTTGGTTCTACCAGTATCCAGAGAAATATTCAGCTCACCGCTTATGCAGACTAGGCTAAGCAGGTAATCCCATTGATCACAAGTCTACCAATGACTACTGTATCTTCCTTGGCTCACTCGTCTCATGGACGGTTAAAAAAGCAAACAACGGTTGCTCTCTCTTCCACAGAAGCTGAATATCGAGCACTTACTATGGCCACCACTGCGATGTTTACCGCAAGATTTCAGAATTTGTCTCAACCAACCACATTATATTGAGATAGCACTTCAGCAATAGCCCTTACGAAGAACCCATTTTTTCATGCGAGGACAAAATATATAGAAATAGATTATTACTGCATTCGGGAATATATCAAGAATAATCAAATAACAATGTATTGGCTAAGACCTCACCCATAGCTCTTGCAAAGAATCCAATTTTTCATTCGAAGACCAAATATATAGAAATAGATTGCCACTGCATTTGGGAATGTTATCACAACAATCAAATAACAATGCATCACATTACCATAATGGATCAGCGCGCAGATTTATTTACAAAATCTCTTCCAAATGCTTGCTTCAAGTATAACTGAAATAGCTAACTTCAAGAAACTCTATTTGTACCATACAGCTGGTGTTTCTTCTCATGATGTAACAAACTTCAGTTACCACTCTTGTTGTTTACAATAGACTCTCTACGTAAGGGATCCTATATAACAGCTGAATTGTATCTGAATTTCCTGATTTCCAGTTTACTTCCTGTCCTTCTCAAGCTATCTTGTTGTAACTATGAGAACCATTGAAATGATTCACATGCAAATACATTTTCCAATCCAATCAGAAGCTAGTTCAATTAAAATCCATGCCTAGTCATTTTGAGCTCGATCATAACTAGACCCGACTCATCGTCTACTAGTTCACTGTAGGGCGAGCCCCTATAATGCAAAAAATCAATCAATTCAAACTTTAAAAAAAAAATATATTCACACTCAAACCAAAATTTGTTAGGAATTGTTCAAATAACTAGGCAAAAGTAGTTCAATTAAAAAAAAAAAAAACTAAACTGGAGTGAGCAGAGAAGATTTTTGAAGGACATATTCAAATAGCTACTCCAAAGGTTTATAAAACAAAGCTAGTTAATAGCATATTCACTTGTGGCCGAACTAGAGAATATGTCCCTCCTACTTTATTTGTAAATGCTTACGAGCCATATAAATCCATTTTGTAGAAATATTGACGCACTCAGGTTCTTATAGTAATTTGGAGTTGTTTCCATAAAACCTGAACAAGTCATGTTCAACATCAATGAGCTAAGAATGATGGAAAAAATAAGATAGCAGCATAAAAATTAGAAGAAACACAGGATATCACAAGCAAAAAATGGCAGAATCCCTGAAACGAAAAGGTAAACAACATTTCTTCAACTCATGCTTATTAAGAGCTAAAATGACTTGAAAATTTCCAAAGTACTACATGCACAAAGATGACAAAATTTAAGACCATGCACAAAAGACCAATCAAATACACAAATTTTCCATTGTAAAACATCTCTTGAAAAAGTAAGGGGAGAAAACAAAGGATCATCCTATGATTTTGTAAACCTTGAAAATGCCTGCCCTAGACTACCTAAAGATAAGATATGATGGCATTACAGAGAGAAGCTAAGCTTGAGAGTATCCTAGATACACTCAACACACAAAGCACACAAATGTCAAATCTTTAAAGATTCACGAAACTCAAAATTAACTCTTCCACAACTCCAATATAATTATTAGGGGCATTTACATACATACCACCCAATTTTTATATATTTACATATCTAACATCTAAACTTTACCTTTTTACATTGAGACCACCCAAAATTTGCATATCACATAAAAAATACCATCATTTAAATTTAAAAAGTGAAATGCACTTTCATGCATAGGTAGGGTAGCGTGTACGTAAAAATTGAAGTTGAGGTGTTAGATATGTAAATACATAGAATATGATTGGTATGTATGTAGATCTTCCTAATTATTAATACTCTTTATACATGATGCATGATATTTGCAAATAACATTCTCCTGGTAGGGGAGGCAAAAACTGAATCAAAAGCTTATTTGTAGTAGTATAGAATGTATATGGTACACATTAAGTAGAGTGGAGATTGAGTACATTCCATGGAGCTCCAAAAGAGATAGAAATAGCATTCAAACAAGAGTAATAGCCAACTAAACCATTGCATGGTGAGATCCATAAAGCCATTTGGCACTTGACAGAGCTAAAAGATTAAAATGGAGTAGCATCAATTTATAATAAGAAAATAAGGCATAATTTGAAAAAATAAATGTTATAGATTCAGGTACTGCTGGAGGTTCAAACAAGTTCAGTGAAAAAAAATTCATATTCATATGCATAGTTAAAATAAGAAAGATCAAGTTGCAATACAGTGATTACATGGGGAAAGATTGAAAGTAGTATTACTTAAAGATGGTAAAATAAAAATTGAGATGGTTTCGGAACATACAATGGAATGAAACAGCTGATTTGCTAACTTTAGACAAAGCTTGTACTATTCAAACTCCCACACATCAATATATTGTCCGCTTTTTGTCCTAATGACCTCATAGTTTTGTCATATTGGTGTAACTTCCTAGGAGGTTACCCATCTTAGGAGTGCTCCCAAGCGAGGACACATAACTTTGAAGTTTAGCGAAATTTCACCACTATACCAAAAGGCACCTCGATGTTTAAAAGTTCAAATTCTTTCTAATTAAGGAATTTCACAATCTCCCCCACTTATGTAGCTGACGTCAACACTAGTTTCCTTAACCCAAAGTCATTCACCAAGCAAATGAGATTCTAGAGGTGGACCCTACAGATTAAAGAGATGTTTCCCGACCATGTAGCACATTGTGTCCCATATTGGGTTTAAAAGATGGCTCTCATGATGTAGCAATCTGTTCTGTTTGACATTTAGTTTCCATCTTCCAGTTGGTGCAATGCTCCGATATCATTTTTAATATAACAAACTCTCACCCATCAAGATATTGTCCGCATTGGTCACGGTTTTGCCTTGTTGGTGTAACTTTCCAAGAGGCACCCATTTCATGAGTCTCCCATGCAAGCACAATTAAATTTGGAGTTTATGATGAAATTCAACCGTTACACCAAAAAACACCTCCATGTTTTAGAATTCAGCTTCTTTCTACTTAGGGGGTTTCACAAAGCTGATGATAAATGATGTAAGCATCTCTCCAATATTTTAAACATACGGCAAGCAAATGCATTGTTACATTTACATGTGAGCTAGAGCACAACCATACCAAGTAAAATCTTGGCTATAATTGCACTGATTTTTAAAAGGAAACATTTTAACCAAATGACCACATCAAATACTTCGCAAGTAAATACCTTCCATGCCTGTTTGTGTGAAGCCTGTAGAGATTTAAGCCTTCCTCAAGTACACTCCGCACAGAATCAGGTAGAGGTTGCCTGTAAACAGTAACAGAGCATGTTTCCATTTAACATCAGCAGATGCCAGTAAAATACAGAAAAAAAAATCATGGAAACCATCTTCATGGAGGAGAAGTAATTTTAATTTCCAATAAATATGCCTTATGGTACAGTACTTCATAGAAATTATTGCTTCAAATACAAAAAACCATATTCACTCTGTAAATTTTCTTTTCAAAGGATGGGAAATTTACCAAAAAAATTGATAGAAATGGATGCAAGGGCACATCATTGCTCGGTTAGTTAGCTGAATGGTACTGTAAAACCTAGGTGCAGGAAGGCACGATGAAGTGATGAAAAAATACTCGATAGGATTTTGTCAAATTCAACGTAAATAGTACAAAGATTTGCTACATGTAAAACGTTCATTCTTACATATATACATGCCTTATAAACTGAATGCATATTTCTAAATATAGCATCACAATAGGAAGAATAAAAACTTTCACATCTAACTAAAATTTGTTTTCAGTAGGTACACTTGTATAATTTAAATAATGATATAATACAAATGCAAAGCGGACTTGGCATTGACAAAGATGCATAAGGCTTTAGGTCTAGATGAAATATCTACCAAGAGTTGGAGAGTTGTTTAGGACACTATAGTGGTTCGGTTAACAAACTTTTTCAAAGGAATTTTTGAGACTGAGAGGATGCCAAAGGATTGGAGAAGCATCATTTCATACAAATAAGTTATGAGCGTGAGTATGGAATACAAGCTTCACAAATTGCATTGATTTTCGAAAACCAAACATTTTGATTTCATCCCAAAAAAAATTATTATAAAGCAAGGAAACATCTTTATATGATTTTTCTTGATCACGATATAAAAAATCAAGTAAAAAAAATGAATCGGCATGTGCTTAAGACATAAATGCATGTCAAAAGCATGTTATTCAAAATAAATGCGATGAAGAATCAACTAGTATTTGAAGTAGTCCTGAGGTAATCAAGGAATTTTTAATTACAATATGATTACATCAAAGATAATGGTTGTCTAAAACCCTTTTAGTTATTCAAAGTGAGTTTTCTTGATGATACGGTTTTCTACAACAACAACAACAAAGCCTTAGGGTCTGTTTGGCGCAGCTGCAACTTCTCAGCTTTTCAGCTGTAGCTGCACTGCCCTAGAAAGCTGCTGCGGGAAAGCTGATAGTCTGTTTGTTGCAGCTATGCGAAAAACTGTTTATGAAAAAATAGTCATTCTGTCCCTGTTTAGTGAAACTGTTTATAACAGAACAATGACAGCGACATATTTGATATTTCAGAATCATAAATTCGTTTCAAATCATAACAGAAGTACAAATACATAACTCACGTCATATACGACATTGTGTAACAGTGAGTATTAAAAGTGCTAAGAAAAAAAAATAATATTACAAATAAACTAATAATGATATAGTCTTTAACGTGAAGATAATGAATGTCTCCACCTAAACTGTCCTCCAATGATGCTAACAATTCGTGATCAGTTTCAGAAGTGGAATCGACCTGACCGTCAGCCCAACGAAAGAAGTCACAATGTTTTGCGAGTCTCCGGAGGCATCTGTAAAACTGTCGACCGTTGCTGTGGGTCTGCCATGACCTCAGAAAGGATATCTCTAGTCCGCAGTAGCATAACATTCTTTGGGAAGTCCCTGAATTTCTGCTGCTCATCTTTCCTGAAAACATCAAAATAGAATCCATTGGTCAATTATTTTAAGCTGGACCCAAAATACTCTTTATTCGTGTCTCACAAGCTCGTGGATCAAGCTACCTTTCATGAGGAGTCACTCACTCAAAGAGCTCGACCTTCTCTCAAGCATTTTAACCCGGATTCAAAGCAGCGGAGAAGAGAGTTTGAAAACAAGGGAAGGAGACAGGTTTACGCTTACCTGCATCGGGCTTCCTAGAATCGTTCTTGGTAGAGGAAGAAGGCGCAGGGGTCTCGCGGGATGGCTCGGGAACACCAGGCGGGATGCTAGGGCAGAAGAGGGGGGGCGTGCGCTAGGCAGAAGACACGGGGCAATATGGAATATTAGCGAGGTGAAAGCTGGGGCCGCGGAGTCAATTTCGCAGTCCGCTTTCGGCCAGCTTTAGTATCGTGTGGCGCAAAGTTGGGAGCCAAACGAAAATTTTTTGAGGTTTCGGGCCGCGAAGCTTGAGAAAAATGGCCCCAAACAGTCCCTTAATCCCAATCAGTGTGACACCCATTCTTGATGTACATTTTTCTACTACTGATATAATCCTAATCAGTGCGGCATCCATTCAAATAAGTAACAAATTATAATCGTAACAATGATGTTTAATCGATAGACGTCTTAAAAGTAGTAAACGAATATTAAATATACAATACATAATTTTAGTGGGCCTAATATGAAAAACTATCAATTAATTTATTTTTTAATTTCTTATTAGTCAATGAAAAGAGTACACGCAGCGATTGCCAAAAATGCTAGTAGGATAAAAAGGCCAAAACTATAAAATGCCATTAATCTACATATAGAGAGGAACCCCAGGAGTCCACATTCAAATCATCTTAATTGAAGTCTAATAAATCTTAGAGTGAATATATCTTTTATTTATATTTGAACTCATTATGCTAGAGTGAAGTTGAAACATTTGTTACAATAGCTCTTTAGTACTAGAAATGCTGGCATCAACGAAAATTTATTGAGAATCTCATTAATCCGCATTCCAGACAACTTGATGATCATAAAAAAATATGGATCAATGATCTGGAACGCAAATAGGGTTCACCACTATTAGACTGACATCTGGAATGGTTTAAATCTAAGACAAAATCTAGTGTGCTTCAGAGTTGTGTACAAAACAAATCAAAAATAGGAATTAGCACAGATAAATTAAAAGATCGCCTTTATCAATTGAATTTTCTCCACTAACAAGGTTACTAAAAGATTTTTGTAGGTTTAGGTGTGCCTTGAAGCTTATAAAAAAGTCGTGGCAAAAAAAAATTGTCAAGAGGAACAAGAAGTAATGCCTTCATGCTTTAAATTATGTTAGTAGTGTAATAATACTCTTTTAAATTTTTAATTCACTAAATAAAAAAAAAGAAAAAAAGAGTAGTCACCTGCGTAAGACACCTGCTGTGCAGGTGTCGACCAAGAAGCTCCCGCAGCACTGCCCACAGAGGTTACCCCCTCGTCCCCTCATTCGACTGCACTAGAGCAATGAGTGACAGATAGGGAGTAAGAGACAGTGGAAAAGAAGAAGAGAACGGGAGAGAGGGAAAGGGAGAAGGAGAAGCCGGAGAGAGAGAAGAAAGGGTTCGAGCGGCTCACCTTCTTCGTGTGTACTAGACAAACCACAAGCAAGGAAGGCTCTTGAGGTCGTGTGGCACACTAGAGCCTTTCGACGAGCGTGCTACGCTCAGTTGAGCGCATGCGCCGTCCAACAACAAGGAGGAAAGGCTTCTTGTGTGCGTTAAGGAACTCGATCGTGCATTTCTTTGCAAGTAAAAAGAGCAAGGAATGAGGTTTGCGGCTTTCAGTCTTGAAAAAATATTACATTAGGACTTCGGATGTATCTGGAGTCCAATGACGGGACGCCACGTGTCAAATCGGACCCATTAATTATAACACTGACCAATCCCATTGTATTATAGTAGAACCATTTAACTCATGACGCCCCACCATTGGACTCCGAAAGCAAATTACGTCCGTAGTCCTGATGTAATATTTTTTCTCAGTCTCGTGCTGGAATTGCCGCACCCGAGAGGAGGAAATATTACTCCGGACTTAAAACTCATTGTAAAACTCATAATGGATTCTATTTTCAAGTAGATTAAAACAAAGACTATACGACAGGATAAAATGATCATTTGTTCATAAACAACTGTAACATGACTGCTGCAGAATTGTACAAAATAAATAGGCACTCGGCTTCCCTGCAAATACTTCTTGATACAACAACTGTTGTGCAACAACTTTTTAAGAACTGCCCGAACAAACCCCAAGTTTCAAAGTATAATTAACCTATTCCTAACTCAATATTAAAAGAAATTATAAGAAAACCTTACTAAAATGCGTTTAATTGAATTATAATATGTTAGTGTATAAATTAAAATATGTTAATGAAATAGTTTAATGGTAAGAATGAATTATTAGTAAAGAACTTATACGAAACAACAAATAAAGATTAACACATATGCCTATATATTTATGTTAGAATTTATGTAGGACAAAAGTGATAAAAGCTATATAAGTCTAATGTGTTACGATAAGTGCATCAAAGAAAGTCTCATCAAAAGGCAATTGACTACCTTGAATAGGTGAGTAAATACATTTTTATTTTATAATAAATCTTTTTATTTATGAAATTAATTGCAACTATTTATGCTATTTTGAGCACCATCTTTTAAAAATGCAAGTTTTTTTTATAAATGTCAAATAAAAGAAAAAATAAATAAATATGATATATGCATGCATATATAGAGTTAGACTTGTATGATACCAGGGGATGAGATGTACTCAAGCATGTAAAATAAAAATGAAAAAGGTTATCTATCATTTTGGTGAATTTTAGAAAATTTAAATATATACTTTTAATATACGTTCGGACACTTCCACTGACGAATATTATAATTGAAATGAATAAAAATAGCTAGAAAAATGATTTTTTTACTACTTATCGTGTCTTTACAAAAATATTTTTAAATAAAAATTATTATAATTTAGAACTATTTTACCCACTAAGTAATTTAACTCATAGTTTCAGCTATAATTTTAAGGAAAATTTGCTATAGAATAGATGTATCTTATGGAGTATGCGTACATACACCAAGGAACATAGAAAAATATCTATTATAGTTTAACTTTTAGTTTTCTTTTAGTTGTAAAAGTTTTAGATATGAATGAATATTTGTAGCGCAAATTTGTGTAAAAGAATGACACTTTTATATGTTGGATGATTTGTTTAATAAATGAAAATATTTAGATAGTTAGCTTCCTCCATCTGACTGTCCATTCTAACTTTCGTAT